CGACACCACGAGAAAATGTTATCTACACGAATAGATAAGTCTGTGTTCAAGTATGTATATTATTATAGTATTAGTGACATTATAAGTATACCATAGTGTCCCTGTTTATCGAACAAATACTTGATGAACATGTATACGAAAGTTATTTAAACTTCACTGTAACAAAAATCACTAAAGATAAAAACTGTAAAAAAAAAAAAAAATAAAATGTTTTTCATTAAATAAAATAAAATCTTAAATTATATAGGTACTGTAGTATTATGTTAACTTTTTTAGCAACTTGTTTTGACAATAATAAATGCAGTATAACTTGTTATACTATATTATACATATTATATTATCGCAGGCGTGTTTGTTTTCTAATCCTTATACATGCCTATTTTATAATGTAATTGGCATCGTGTCAGTTTTATGAAACAATAAAATAGTCGTTTGTATATGGTTTCAGTTAGATGCTGTATTATTTTTTTACAAGTTGAAAACGATCTCGACAAACACAACATTTAAAAGCGTCTATATATACAAAATATATATATAAATAATAAAACAACCGTTGAAAATTGTAAAAATCCGACGGTTGTTTTAAGTAAAGCGAATTAAAATCATATAATACGAGCATAACAGACGAGACTCGAAATGCGTGCCATCGTTTACACAATATAAACCAACTATCGCGTTGAGTAGGACTGCAGTGCTCAGATGTCATTGTCTGACGTTTACTGAAATTAATGAACGTCGCAATACTCGGCCACCTGATACTATAATAAATTTGTGCCCGAGTCCGAGTAACTAAATCCTTATAATATAATATATACATGAATTAAATACTGAATATATTGAGCAAAGTTCAAGCTGGGCAAGTAATCAATTTTGTTGCTATTTTAAGTCATCAAGTAACCCTTTAAAAAAAAAAGAGAAAAAACTAAACTAGGTATTAAATTAATTTTAAAATTCGATTGGGTAACTAAATTAAGTTACACATTATATTGAAAATTTTAACTCAGTTACATAAGATAAAAGTTATACGTTTTTTAAAATTACCCATTACTATACACTAAATACTCATAAGCGTATTTTGTATTTTATAATATTAAGACTTTTAAAGACTTACTAAACAAGACACGCGTAAGTATTCTATTATATAAAATAAATGCATAGGCCGTCACGAGCTCGTCTTGTTATTTGGTAATGATATTCACGTAAAACTTCGTATAATGTTCGTTGACATAAAATAATAAAAAAACGGTTCTATTTTTTATTATTAACAGTTTGTAAATGTTGGAAACAGCTTAAATTTTAATAAAATAACTAAGTAAAAATTATTTATTTTTTAATTTTTTTTAAAAAAAAATTATTCAAGTTAAAAATGATTAAAAATGTAATTTATACCCAAACTTTTAACTTTTGAACAATAGTTACTTCCTAGCTTTGTACATCAAAAAAAAAAAAAATCAAAAACGTAACTTAAATAATAAAATAATGTTCAAATAGATTCAGACTAATTCTTTGTGAAAAGATTAAATTGTATTAGAGGCGTATTAATAGGTGGGAAGGGAGGCTGAGGGGTCTGCAGTCCTCCGAAATTTATGGGAAATATTCAGTTTTAAACAAAATAAGGATGGGTTCTAGGGGCTTTTTAAATTCTGAGCATAGCGAGGAATGTATTGATTCTATTTTATACATGTTTTTATTTTTTCATGCGTGTACAATAGAATTTTACCAGAGATATCGCCCCAATCGACAAATGACCAAAGATATTTTTTTGTAGAATTTCAGATCTAGTTATCTCAGCGCCTGCCCTTGTTGAAAATTACCGAACATCGCAATACGTCGTAATAAATTGCATTAATTCAATGTTTTTAATAGTATCGGTGTAAAATATATTTTTATTAACCATAGTAACGCACAATAATTTATTGTTTTTACCACGACGAAAGTAACCGGACGGGCGAACGGACGCCGCGGATAAACTGTTCTACGAATATTCCAAATGGATAACCCAACTGCCCGACACTTCATAAAAAAAATTTGTTTTCAATAGACTGTGCACGGGCAAAGCAACACATGAAATCGAGCAACAAAAAAAAAATAAATATTATGTTACAATATGTGTCACCGAGGTAACCCATCAATAAAAACAATTCTATTCGCGTTCCAAAAATACCGAAAACCCCACGTCACAAAGGGACGAACCTTAGGGTTGAATTTGTTTGGTTCAAAAAAGTGACCTTTATTATTTTCCAGGGTTCCAAATATCCGCTTAAAAAATGTTATCAAAATCGATTCAGTCGTTTAGCCGCGAAAACGCACTCAACGGACAGAGTTACGTTCGCATTTAAAATATTAGTAAGGATTATACACTAATTAATTTGCCTAATTTAATTATTATGTACCTACCTACATTATGTATTATAATTTTATATACGAGCAGACAGCGTTTTAATTATATGTGTCTTAAATAAATTATAATATTTTATAATGCTCATATAACCCACACAAACGTATGTTACGCCTGACTACCTGAGTATGATTTATACTTTTATTTATTAAAATATGTTTACCTTTTCATTTCGGACTCCCCTAGTTTACATACATTGTGCACGTATATTAATATTGTAACGTCTGTTCGGTATATCGCGTACCTAAAAATATAAAGTCACACAAATACATTTTGCATCCGAAGAGATTAATGGTATAATTACCACCATCACCACCACCACCACCAACACCACCGCTCCCCATTAAGTATACTATAGTAAAATATATTAGTATTGGCACTGGTATTGGAACAGTCCTATAATCATCCCCTTCTATCCCTCGAATAGTTCCTGAATTCGTCCCTGTAATAGATATACAGCTAATTACAGAGGGTTGTATACGCATCAACCATGACGTGTGTCTTCTTGCGCATTGTATTTTGTCCTGTTCACACGGCCAATATTGCAATTTTTCATCATTGCGGCGCCTGTTTTTGCGTGTTTCACCGAAATACCGGCGTGCAAATAGCAAATTATTTCAAAACTATGTACAGGTTGTTTTCACACAGACATTTTCTAAACGATTTTCTTTTATCATTGCGATTATCGATTTCGGGGTGATTTTTCGTTGATATACCTATAAATTATAATTATAACTATATACTATAAATTATAATATATAAGCCGGACATAATTCTCACCATTGAAATAGGGCTAAAATGTTGCGGGTTGCGATTATAAAATAGGGTATATATGATAATGCGTATGTAACATGAGAAATCATTATAAACACGAAACGATTCTGAGCGAAATTTGGTTAAACACGGTTTTGTACATACCTATGAATTGAATTTATTTTATTATTTTTAGACTACACAAATCAAATTAAATTTATTCGTATTTTTAACGAATTTTAACATATATTAGAATTTAAAACGCTGATGAAAATCAATTAAAGTACTTTTATTTACGTACGACCGAAAAAAATCGAGTTATTTATTAACTATTAACCATTTGAATGGTTTAGTTTTTATATTCTGACCGGAACGAGGAATGTATTAGTTTTACAATGATGTTTATTTTTATTTGTTATTTTCTGTGGACAACTTTTCTACCAGAAATTTCGCTCCTATTTTCAAGTGTAGGAGTTTTTACGAAAATGAATTTGACTGGTGTGGTGTTTTAGGGAGTTTATTTTTTAATTTGCCCGGGAGTTTTTATAATAAATGAAAAAACGTACGAAAAACGGGAAAATTTCCAAAAATGTAATTGTTTTCAAATTCGTAAATATTACGGCCTTTCAAAACATGTATAACCAAACTCCGCTCAGAAACGTTTTTCGTCAGCAGAGAGTAATTGTTGCGAACGGATATATACATTCAATCCCCCTCTTCTCAATTTCTCACCAACAACAGTAAGGTATGACAGTATTTTTTTCAATTCACATTTGGTTTTATGTGGATAAAATTGTTTTGACCCGGCGAAAATGCTCGAACATTTAACACGAGGTCCATCATTAATTATACAATGTGACGGTCAAATAATAAAAGCATAAACATGTCGAGTTTAATGTAGTAGTTATTATTAATCTTTTTTTGAATACTCGTTCATCCCACTCGTACAATAAATCGTGTAGGTATCGTTTTAACCTACCTCACCCGTTAACGATGAGAGGCACAACTACGCGACTGTTTCAATCGCGCTTCGATCGATATTGCTGGGAAGTTGGGAGAAAAGAAGAGCGTGACTTATTCTTCGCATTTTCGTGAGACATTAAAGCAGTTTGTCGTTGTCGAGGTTAATCATTTTTTTTTGATTTGTTCAATTTTTCATTATTTTTTTGCTAATATACAAATATTATACAATAACATAATATCGTGTATACCGCATTGCCGATCAGCACCAGTTAAATATGCGAATCGTACTGCGCCGCAGACGGTACGGTCCCGTAAAGTCTCACACGAGTCGTATCGAAACTCTGCGCGTGTCGGGCGGTATCATAACGGAGAGGGAAATAATGTTTTTTTTTTTTTTTGTGCTTTTTTCGTCATCCTACGTCGGGACGATATTTTCGAAACAACGCGACGCGCGCCCGTTTACAAATAAAGAGAACCTACGCGGCGACCGCGGTACCCACCCGTGCGTACCGAGGTGGGTACCGCGCGCGCGTGTGTGTATGCATACGCGGGCGACGACAACAGACGCGGAGGACGGTAATAGGTAATCCGACGCGTTGGAAAACAACAAACGGGTTTAACGGAATTGCGCAACGAAAACGCAGCGACAACGTGTAATGGGTATGACGACGACGGCGGCGGCGGCGGTTATCTAATAGGACGCGATTGCATGTATCGACCGGGTCGTGGATCTCGTGAAAGTGTGCGGAGTGAAAAATAATAACAATGCGCGCCGCCGTCGTCCGCGTTCGCGATAGTTTGACGCGGGCGTCGAGGTCGCACTGGTGCAACGGTCGGGCGGCGGCGGTGGCGGGGCGGCGAGAGGGAAAGATCAGTAGCCGCGCGACGGGTTCACGGCGATCGTGAAATAGCGGGGCAAAAGTAAAAAAAAAAAAAAAAACAACCGAATGAAAATATTAGCTGCAGCTGCAGCGTCGCCACGAGTTTTCATGCGATTGCCGCGTTATCGCACGTTGTCCGTTCCGCTTTATCACTGGCCGTCAGTAATCATTAAACGCCGTCGTTGGCCGCACGTGGACCGCGACGTTTCGCATATTATCGTACGTTCGACGACGCGCCGCGAAACAACGACCGACGGGTGAGTACAGTGAAATATATCGCCGTTTTTCGGTCGGATATTATTACGGTTTGCTCGGGGACGCGATCGGCGAAACCGCCCAGGCATTATTGTACTATTGTACTATTGTTGTTGTTGTTGGTTTTTTTTTTTTCATTGATACCGTCGTCGTTGGAATCGGAATCGCGTTGATAACAGACGGCGGCGGCACGACCGAAACAGCTGATCCGTCGCCGCGCGCCGTCGCCGAACTCGGTGCAATGCCGTCGCGGCCCCTCAGACACGGCGACAATGGTCGCGTGCACCGCACGAGTTTCTACGCGTTTCTGGTTTGGTTCGTCTTCGAACTCTCTCTTTCTCTCTCTCTCTCTCTCTCTCTCTCACCGTGTCCCTCTCTATCCGGTATATTATTTACCCATTGTAAAAGGAAAAATATTGAAATTTTTTTTCGATCGAATCGGCCGTCCAACGAGTAGTCGCAGTTACGATTTTGTTCCGGGGGGGAGACGGATAATTTGTTAGGCGAACGTCGTCAACGAACCCCTCTCCACGCACACACACCGACCATAAGAACTACGTTTTAGATTCCGAGTGTACCTACCGTAAAACCCATTAGTAGTTTTAATAAGATGCGGTTTTTTTTTTTCTTTCAGAAACACTTTCGGCCTGTACGAATATACTCTCGTTTACGGATGATTCGCCCGGCGGTACTTTATTTCGAAGGAATTTCTCGAAATTCCTAATTATTTTTCAAAAACGCACAAAGTGCAATTGTGTTTTTCACAACGTATTTTTTGACGATTTTTCCCACGCAGTGCCTGTAGGTACCTTAAAAGATGTGGATTTTTCGAACACAATTACGCCAAAAATCTATTTTCGATTGAAATAGTTTGATTGTATCTATACGTACGGTGGCATCCCAGCGGTCAATTTATCGTATTCTGCGAAATGTAAAAACTAAGCCGTTAAGTTCTGGTACTTTTGCGATTTAACCCACCCTCCCTCCCCCCCATCCCATCCCGATATTAACCATGCCGTTGATATAGTTTCACGAATAGGGATACCAAGGTAAAGTAATTAACATAAAGAAAAAGCCTCTGGGAGTTGGATTCAATCGCCGTCAACCTCCCCTCGCCATAACTCCGACGTGGGTTCTTTCGGAAACGACTGACTACTGCGGTTTACGGAAACCTTTAAACAAAGGGTACGTCTGGTCGAGTCGGATTTTAGGTTTTAACGAGAATTTCCAACGTCAGCCACGAACCGTGTGTACTTTATTGATAGGCATTTCGCGTGATCGACGGGTTTCTGCAATTAACCCGCAGAACGTTCACGCCGAACAGAATGTTTATTCGTCTAATATTCAATATAGCTGAATACGGTAGTTATGTTTTTTAACCGTACCTACGCCCGCGATGAGTTTTAGCACGACTCGGTAATTTTCTATCCGCGCGTAACGAAAGACAAAACAATTTACTCTGTTACTAATATAAATATAATTTCAACGCGGACGCTGTGAAAACACGCGAATGCGAAAACCACGTCGGCGATGTAATACGGTCGAAACTATCCGAACCGAGGTTTGCGCACTAACGCGCAGTTGTACGCGAAACGCTCTGCTGTTTTTGGTAACGTGACGTTTTCCGAACGCATCGCGCAAAAAGCGTCGAAAGTATTTTCGAATGGGAAGCCGGCAATATTAGTGGACGGCCGTAATTATGTGGAACCGTCGACGATTCAATCGGCGGCCGCGGTATATTCGAATAAAATCCGAATGCGGTTTCGCTTGATGCGTTCGACCGTATCGCGCGTGTTCGACGCGTACCGAAATGGTTTTGTACAACAGTTTTCAATAACAATCATGATTGTTTCGATCGCTGTATCAATACGAATTATCGGGGGTTTTTTTTTTTTTCCGAGCTCCGACCGCGCGTTTATTTGAGAACCACTGTTTTCTATTACCTACACACGCGCGTGCGCGCGCCTCTGAGAATATTCCGGTATATTGAGTACAATAAAATCCATGAGAAGGTGTTAAAAACAAAAAAAAAAAAACGCGTGCACGTCATGTTTATTGTATTGTTCGTATCCACTTAGGAGGACGTACACGTCTATTGTCAACGGTAACAATTTCGTTTCGTTTCGGTACAGCCGGCTGCGTGGTGGCGTTGCGTCCGCGAGAACAGTTCCGAAGATGAAGCCGACCGCTGCGGACGACGGAAGCGGCGCGAAACCGACGACGGACCGGTGGGTGGACGCCAACGGCGTGGCCACCCGGGTGCTGTGCTGGGGCCGGCCGATCGACGAAAGCGGCGGCCCGAACAAATTGGTGTTGTGCGTGTGCGGCAATCCGGGAATCACCGAGTACTACGAAAAATTCCTGCGTGAAATCCATCGGGCCCTTGACGTGCCCGTTTGGGTGGTGTCGCACGCCGGTACGTGTGTCTATATTACTGTTATTAATTATTAATTAAAACGGCTCAGCTGTATAATAATAATATCGTGGTGCCGTGATCCGGATCACCCGGATTTCGGACTTTTGATAATCTGTTATAATGCCTACGCGTTTTTCAATTGTCAATACGAATCTTAGACGGACCGAATTTAAAGTACATTTTTGATCTCGGATACCGAAAATCCGGATTAATCTATCGTACAGTCCGGATTGGGGGGTCGCCGCGATCGTAATCCGAATTGTGTATACGGAATGTTTACGTTTAAGAATCCGAGTGGAGCGAGGAACGTAATGGTTTTACATAATATAATGTTTATAATTTAATTTTTTTTTTATCTGTAAACAACTTCTGTACCAATAATTTTGCCCCGATTTTTGCACTTTTTCTGAGAGGAAATCTCACTGGGGTGGTACTGTAAAGGGGGCATTTTTGGACTTTTCCACGAGTTTTTCCAACAAATGGGAAAAACCGGGAATAGAATATGGGGAAATTGGGAAAAAACGTAAGAAAAATGAGAAAATAGGTACAATATTAAACAAATATTACTAAAGAAAATGTTAAATGCATACATAATTATTTCACCACCTTGACAAAGCAACACTATCAACCGAACTCTGCTCAGAATCGTTTTTACGTTAGCCATGGTGAATCGTCGCGGCGTATACTGTACGAAATTCAATGTATATCCGGGACAGATATACATTAGATTTCCCCTCTACCAGCTCTATTTAACATTTAACCTTCCCAACTTCTCACCTACAACTGTGAACAGTGACCCACACAAGTGCGAAGCATGTCCGTCTATTATTATTGGTTTTTTTTTTTTTTTTAAATTGGATCAACCCGGAATGTAATTCGGATTTTAGATTAAACCAGGTCGATCCGGATTGAGTGTTTAGCGCCAATTTATACGCAGACTCGTTTACGTTTTCGGCGCCCCGGGGCATTGTTCCTTTGCGGCCATTTCGTGCGTTTTTTTTTTTTGTGCATCGTACCGGAATTGTTTCGAGTCGCACATTTTCCGTACTAAACTGCACACTGTTCTACGCACCGCCGAACGAGTGTAAACTGCGGGACGGGGTCGTTAACAAATAAATAATAATATAAACAAATACCTTTTCGCCGTGTCTTAAAAGTTTATTACGCCAATTATTGGCACCCTCACTCACATACGTCTCTGACTTTGTACGTGGTACGTAAGTATACGATATATGTTTTATACGGTTATTTATCGCGATTATAGTAAAAAAACGTGTCTCCGATCAATAAACTATACGAATTGTATATAGTTATACCTATATTACCTATATATACCTACATTTATACTATCACAATATTATTGTCGCGCCTAGTAAATGATATATGTTGTTAAAAAAATTGTTTTTTTTGAAAACGTCGGTGGAAAATTCCGTTTTTTTTTTCAAAAATAATATCAATTATTTAACTATCGTGTATATTATTTCTGCGTGATGATAATACGTATACCTATTTAGTATTTATCCGCTTATTCACACTGTGTATACAAGAGGATCGGTTCCACTACGATTAAAGCACGAACGTTATTGTTTTAATTATAGCTTTTAAGAATACGTGCACTGGTTAAATATGTAAATTTTTACTATGCAATTTTATTTGTAACACAAATATTTACGTGGGTTTCGTTTTCAGATCACGGTCGTTATTTTTTAAAAAATTTCAAAATTCATTAATACGGTGACTATTTAATAAAAAAATAAAGTCGTTATCCTTCCACTTTTGCCATTTTTGAACTACAACTAACTATAATATCTCATTCGAGATTTCATTCAATTACGATTATGTGACTACTGATTACACTCCTTCCTATTTTATTTTTATTAAAAAAATATAAACTTGTTTAATATGTGTATTATGAGGACGCCATTTCCGCCGCATCTATACTGTTGTTTCGGTCTAATTAACGGACGACATAACAAAATTACGGTACTCGGAACATCAATTGTGGCCAAGGGCGTCCATCTTTGAAAATATCCAGGGGGAGAGCATTGTATTTTTTTCAACAATATTTCCTAATCGGCTTTTACATTTTGATTTTTCAATTCATGTTGTCAACAACTGACGGGAAACCACTAGTGAAAATAATCATACCATATAATACATATATCATATTATGATCATCAAATTTTCATTTATTTAATGTATTTAGTATAAATTGTAATATTTTATGTATAAATATATAACAGACACGAAAAAGCCGGGGGGACATGTCCTTCCTCCCACCCACAATGGACGTCCATGGTTTTGGCGTTTAGGTTGAAAAAGAAGTTTAATCACAAACGACACGATTTAAAGAGGAAAATATTTCCGAAGGCATAGCTTTTTCGAAAAAATTGTCACACGTCTTTTGATATTTTCGAGTTTTTTTTCATAGTTTTTATTCGGTATAATGCGGATTTTATCCCCATTATACCGAATATTGTTTGGCCGATGATTTATCGTTGCTAACGTGTATTCTACAATTTGTTTAATTCGGAGTGGAACGATGCAACTATTGACTCTTCTGTGATGTATGTTTTTTTCTCTCTATATAAACTACTTTTCAAAAAGAAAACTTGCTCCGATATATCAAGTGTAACACTTTTTTTTAAAGTAAAATTTTATCTTGTTGGTGAATTATTCAGGACCTTTTTTCGATTTTCTTATATGTTTTCAAAATAATTGGAAAACTCTGGAAAAGACAAAAAATGAATACTGATAAATTTATGACGTTACCATTTTATTTAAAATTGTATGTTTTCTACCAGAAATATTGCTTTAATAAAAATAATCTACAATAGACCTTGTTGAATTTTTAATCTAGTTGGTGAATTATGAAGTTTTTTTTATTTTATCTGTATTTTTTTTTAATAATTGAGCAAAATTAAAAAAAAAGGGAAATGTAGAAAGAACGAGATAATTTACGAAAATAATGCTTTTATTATTATACATTTTGTCTTTTGTTGTAATTTAATTAAAAACATTCGTTGAAACTTGAAATTTTTATATAGAACTATAATTTGTCTTTTCTAGATGTCATAAAAGTTTTTAAAACATTGGATTTATTTATAGACATTTTAATTTGGCGAGTATTTACGTTATTTTTATTTGTTAGGTAGGTTCTCTGCGATTAAAACTGTTTGACTAAACAGAAATGCTTGTAAATTGAAATTTGTCGAGTGTAATTTAATAATTTTTTTTTTCATAAGAATTTTGTTGTCAAATTTTGACGAAAATCTTAAATATTACGGCCTTTCAAAGCACGCGTACAACCGAACTTCGCTCCGAATCGTTTTTCGTTAGCATTGGTTTATCGTCATTTACAGATATAAATTAAATGTATTCTACGTTCCAAACTCTCCACCTACAACTGTGGCACTTCCGTCCTCAGTATTGGCTCTTGTTTTTCTATTTGTATTGTATATCTTCCAACGCATTAAAAACAGGTTTCAGCACGTTTTGACACAGTTATTACCGGTTTCTACAACGTGTATTGCACTGCGATTTGTACTTATATGATATAAATAAGTCTGCGTAGTGTCCTAGCTGTTTTTGTTGACACGCGATTTGTAATTCTCGACTTTTACTCGTTACCCATAACTCATAAGTTACCGCGGATTACCGTAAAACGAATAATGGAAAAAAAAATCAATTAATGATAAAAAAAAGTATATTGTAATTTAAACGCAACGAAAATCATGAATCGCGATACCCGGTCGATTTCTCGGCCGGAACTTTATCGTTTTGAATTTTTCGATGCGCTACCGACGCCCAGTCTTAAGGTCTAAAACCCGTTTCACACGGTACTAGTTATTGTGCTAACTCTAGTGTGATAGCCAGTATACAAATTTTTAGGTCCGTGTGAATAGTGTGATACTATACTGGATCACGCCAGCCAGTTAATTAGTTTTGATAGTGGAACATGTCCGATTTTCCACGCTAGTTACTAGCATGTACATATTTGGAACCGATCAGAATACAGAGATTTTATCAATACAGAATACAGGTGTTCTCTTATCATCTTTCTAGTTTTTGCTGCTAGTTTCCAATACCTTTTATAGTGTATCATACTATCACACATTATGGTGTGAATAGGATATAGTACGGGTTCTAGTACACTAGATTGCACGCAACGTTTAAAACCATGGCTATTATAGTATGCTAGTGATAGCACAATAACTATAGTATCGTGTGAAACGGGCTTGAGTCTTTGTATTATTATTTTCAGACGCGGGTATAATTCGTTAACCGCGATGAACTGATCGCATTATTGTTTTAATTTGCAATTTTTTTTCTATCGTACTGTTTGTTGGCAAGTCCTTACGTTATTATATCGTGCACCTTGCACCTATACTTATCAGGTGTACACCACCCATAGTATTATTATGTCTTTATTATATTTGCGCGCAGCCGGTGCAGTGTTGGTATCTATTACTTTTATACGCATCGAATAAAACGATTTATATCATATTTAATAATATACATATATTATACACGTATGGGCGTTTTTGCAATTTAGAACGTGCATTACACTTATAGGTAAATTAATGTGCATTGCGTAATTAATGTAAAATACGTGTAAAATAATTAATACATAGAATTAAACAAAAAGGTAGGTTAGGTGATAATAATTTAATAGCGTACTTAAAAAGCGACGTTTTAGTATTTATGTATATTATATTATGTATGTGTTTATTTTTTTTTAAAATTAGAAACAGGAAAATTAAGTACACGTAAGCGTATAATAGAGGTCATCTGCTTACTATTATTAAATATGTTGTTGTCATAACTTTAATGATATTTATCTTATCTCTTATTAGATGATTGCTGATTTTCGCTTGATTACAACAATAGGCTTTGTTCGCTTTCGAAATTCGTAATGGTTAACATTATCTTTTTGTTGTACGATGAACAACCGCGGTCTGTACCTGTTCTTTGCTCTTTTTAAAATTGGTATTTCAGTTGAATTTCCAGTCCTCTAATGAAACAATGCAATATATATATATATACATATATACATTTTTATATTATAATGTTATCATTTCGTATTTTAAAGATATATTGTGTTTGTGACGTGACAGCGGATCACGGAAATTGGCACGCCGCGTGAGTTCCTATACTCATATATTTAAGTGAATGACATTCATTTTTCACGAGTAAAGTCATATCGCAATCGTTGAACACGAGCAAGTGTCCAATTTAAAATATCTATACATAAAAAAAAATCCAGCCTATAGGTAGCGGGTGACGGTTGTTTTGTGCATCGTCGCAACGCTCCTTGTACAGGATAATGCTCGTAGGTTGCCACTGTTGTATGTGACCCGTTGGGAATGTATTTAATTTTTATCTGTTAGCAACGATAAATCATTGTTATGAAAAAATGATTCTGAGCGAGTATTAATAAAATATTAAATTGACCATTGTACATATTTATTTGTCACTCCAAAATAAATTACTCTTAAAACCCCTATATCTGATTCGTTCGTTAAATGTATATCTGTACATTATTTGATTAATATAGTGTAATGTATTGAAAATATTTAAAATTGTTTTTTTTTTTTTTGTCTATTTTATTGTAGGCCACGAAGTTCCTCCGTCGAATGTAAAGCTTACACTCCCCGACTCTAAAGAGTATCCTGATCTTTACACGCTTAAAGGGCAAGTAGAACACAAATTACGGTTTATCGAGAAGTACGTGCCGGACAATTGCGATCTGTATTTAGTGGGCCATTCAATCGGCTCAAAAGTTATATCGGAATTGCTAAAGGACGATGCGATGTCCAAGAGATTGACCGTTAAACGTTCGATATTTCTGTTTCCTACGTTACAAAAAATGCGGGAGACGCCCAACGGACGGAATCTCATATTTCACACGCGCTATTTCCTATCCATCACGGTGCTTCTATCATGGGTAAGAAACAATAAGAGTCTATAATAATATTAAAACAATAAGGGTATATTTTTTATTTTATTTTTTGTTAACGTACAACATTATATTTTTATTATTACCTGTGCTTATTGTGACCTGTGGTAAGGTCGGGCGAGCGCATAGATATTGAAATAGAAACATTAAAAACGAATTATTATTTTGACAGTGTATATTATATTTTTGTATTCTTCGCGGGTAAGTAATCGGCTATCAGCCGCCCATAACACGTTTGCTATCACACCACAACTGGTTAAGAATGTGAAAATTGTTACTATACGGGTTCAAAAATTACAGCTCGCATGAGTTAGTCTGTTAAAATTTCAAAAATTCCCGACCAACGTATACGGTCACGTTTGTTTATTGTATTGGTTTTATTCGGTGTCCGCAGCGACGTATCCTTTTGCACAAAACTATTTCCGTAACACGTCACCTGGTTTGTAAAACTTGACAATGCAGCGCAGAAGTTAATTTAATTTGATATTATGTGATTTTTAGTTTTGAAGTTCTTTATGGCCTCCTGTTTATTGAATTCCGGCGAACTCGTGCAAATCGTTTGATGTCGAGGGAACCTAAACCTTCTTTCTACCATCGCTGGGTCGAATTCATAATTGCGTTGAAAACGAAGTTTCTTGTTTGCGCGTTATAATGACAGAAAAAACCGAAATTTCTTTGTCTTTTATTGTATACAGTTTTTGTTTAAGCACAATAACTAACATAAGTATACAAAATCGATATTTTTTTTTTTTTAATAAAAACTTTGATTACATATTTTTATTAAAACTGCTGTTTTAATTAACTACTCGTATATTTAATTTAATAAGTAAACATTTCTCTCCGTAAGTTTTAAAATTAATTAGGTACTGTACAAGTTAAAATAATTTATAATTTGATCGTTTTTGTTATTTTATTATTATTTTTTTTTTTTATGTATAAAAAAGAAAAATTGCGTTTTTTAAAAATTAGAAAAGTATTCAGTATGTACAAGTTATAATGAGCGAATAATATTTGTAAATGTAGAATAGAAGTAAAAATAATAGAGGAGCAATTTAAAACGTTAAACATTTTAGAATTTTTGTTTTAATCTTTCCTATAATTTTTTCTTTGTAATTTAAAAAATGTTCGGTGCTTTTCGGTTATCACGACTTCCTGTATGCAATGGACTATAGTCGTAGTTAGGTTATTTCGACTATCACAGGTGACGGTTTTCCCTCCCCGTTAATTAACCAACGTGGATAACAAATCGATTTTTATTTTCAATTAAAATCCGACATTATTTCGTACTCGGGTAACAATATTTTTGGCTGGTGGATATGTGCGCGTTCAAAGTACTGCTCACTATACGAGTGCGAATTTACGTTTGATTTTTAATCGAAACTAAACTCCGGTTTGCTAGCGAAACCATGTCGAATAGACCCCTGTTATGTAATAGAGGACCAAATAGCTTCTCTTGTTGGATTTTTAATCGAAAAAAGCCCCGTGGTTTCGTAGGTAGTCGAGATAACCTAGTTGTAATTATCGTAATTCGGGATATATAACCACGAAAGTACCGAATTATTTAATTAATAATAATTATCGACAATGAACTACCCCATTCATAATATTTTAAAATCTTTGTTTTTCTAGATTTTTATCACATTTCCGAGTTTTATAAAAACATTTTTAGTAAATATGACACTGGTAATCACGGAAGGAGGATGTGTTGATGATCATGTGATCAGATCGACGGTACGTTTGATTCATCCTACGGTGTTACGCAACGTGTTTTCAATGGCGATAGACGAAATGGATAAAGTATACGATTTGGACGTCAAGGTGGGTTTAGTATTGAATTTATTAAAAAAAATTTTTTTTACCAAACTATATAATGTTTGTTCTGGACATTGTATTTGTATACGATCTAGTGTCTACACATACATATGGTTGTGATTTTGTGTATTTTGTGGTAGAATACAAATGTTTTAGGTTAGATTTCACTATAAACATTTGAATTACTCAGTTATTGATTATTGTCGATCGTGTTATTCGTACAACGGGGAATTTGATTTTGTTATCACATAGTGGCGCAACCTAGCACACCTCACCCTCCCGCTCGAAAATGAATCCCGGTCGCGTCACTGTTTGCACTGCAGTGGAGTACGGGGACATCCGATTAAATGATGGTAATAAGGGATAAATTTTACCCGTTGACAATAATTTACAAAAACCTGTATAGAACCATAGTTCATACCATTCAGCTTTTATTTCAAAAATAACCAGCAAATGCTTTATATTAACGTGAAGATAAAAACCTAGACAAAGAAATACTTAATAGGGTTTCAGCGGGAATTCAAAGAAGAATATTGATTGTGTATTTCGCCTTCCTCTTGTTTTATTTTCTACACTGCATATTGACAAGAACAATGCAATGGATACAATAGATAGTAGACGATGAATAGAAAAAAACAATTCTGAAATGATTATGAATTTTATAGTTATCAGTTGAGAAAAAATCGTCATTAGTATTAGTATAGTATAATATAGCCAAATACTGGACTTCCAGTATACTATACTAACATCAAAACCCGAAGGCGTTGAAATGATCCAATTATTCCAATCGTTAATTATGTTTTATGTATATCGTGTTATTTTTCTGAAGGCTTATCCAGAAGTGTATGTTGATTTATTTTTTTATGTGCAGCATAGCAAATTCGCGTTTAACAAAGACAACTCTGCGCTGTTGGTTTAAATATTACAGCGAATTGACCTGTAATCAAATTTCAAAGATGAAAACATTAAATGTACCATCGTAAAAAACAAATCAATAAATTGATATTGTTTTAAAACCAGACATTAAACAGTCAGATTATCTGTGCGAATACGTCGGTTTTTTCGTTATTTTAATTATTTAAAACAATGTAACGACGTTTGAAATTGTGATATTTCACATTCCTATTCATTGTCTCGCTCAAAAATTAAAATATAGAAAAAACTGACGTAGTCACACAGATAATCTGTGTGTTTAACGTCTGGTTTTGGACAGTAAAAATGTCTTGATTTGTTTTTTTAATGTCAAATTCAACTGTTCTAGATTTTCAACAAACTTGGCTCAAGAACCTAAACTATTTACGCAATATTTTATAGTGAATTTCATTCGAATTTTCGTTTCTTATAACTTGTACTGTATATACGTATAGGATATTATATAATATAATAATAACAGTTGGGACAATAATTCTTCGGTGTATTATTTGGGGGTGGGGATAGGGAGGATTTCGGGTGGCCCGGATAAATTGCATTCTCCCTGACCGAATTTAGCGAGAACACTCCGCCCCCGACTAGTATACTGTGCACAGGAATTCACTTTTGCGTTTGCGTTTTTTTTTTTTCTTTATCAATGTTATAATATCTAACGACACAATTTTTTTTATTCTGTTTGTTCGTCCGTTTTTGTGTAGCCGTTAAAGGACAACGCGAATCGATTGCACATGTACTTCGGCAACTGCGACGGTTGGTGTCCCACGTCGTATTACGACGACATCACCAAGTGCGTGCCGGAAGTGGACGCCGTGCTGTGCGACAAAGGATACAATCACGCGTACGTGATCCAGCATTCCGACGAGATGGCCGGCATCGTGGTCGACTGGCTCAAATCCGACCTAGGAGACGTCAGGTCGCAGTGACTCGGTCGGACCCGACGATTTTCGCAACGATAACGTACGCGCGCCGAATCAGACTTGTATTTTGTACTTTTCTAGGGATCGATATTTATTATACTTTTTTTTATTACTACTCGGTTGTCGTTGTATTTTTTTTCGCGCACGTGTATGATTCGCGTTAAAAAAAAACCACGGAAAAGTAATAAAACTCGGCTGTATACATTTGGTACGTTGTGTCCTTTATTGCGTGTATATTATTATACGTACAGGCCCGAGTTTAACGCGAGTCGAGTACTTCGATATACTTATTCGTATACCGCGGCCACATTACGACGGACTCGGCGCGACACCAAGTAAAAAGTCCAACACGACTTTTCGACGGTTTACTTTCGAGCGATTACTTACGTTATTCGGAATCGCGTCAAGTTCGTCTAGATACGTGGGGGGGAAAAATACACTTCGCACGATGGACGGGCCTCTTTTGTAGGTGAAAAATTAGGGAGGTAGACGGGAAATTTAACGTATATCTGTACGCAACAATTAACCATTGCTAATGAAAAAACGATTCTGAGCCGGATTCGGTTAATAGCGTTATTGATTTATCAACAATATATGTATGTCATATTATGGTAAAATAATTTGCATATGCGTTAATAATTTAAAGATAATGTATGAAATAATATATTTTCTTTAATAACGTTTGTTTAATATTGCACCTACTTTCCTGTTTACCTACGTTTTTTTCCGGTTTTTCCCGTTTATTATGAAAACAGCTGAGACAATCAAAAACTGACCACCTTTAATATACCACCCCTCCTTTCGGAAAAAGTGGTATAATTGAAAATCTGAGCAAAATTGACGGAAGAAAAGTTGTTTACTGATGATAAAAAAAAAAAAAATTTTAAAACTTCGCTCAGAATCTAAAATAGCGATGAGGATTTGTCCGGTTCGACCAACAGACTCCGGGCAAAATCGAAAACGAGTCCCGCGAACAGTTTTTTTCTCTCTCCCGAATCTTTGCGATTTCGAAAAGCGGACTCGTCTCGTTATTTGTCGTCACACCGAGCACTTCGTATACGGTTATAAATTATAATTAAAAACAACACGGCAAAAGCGACGAGGTTTTTTCTTTTTTTTTTTTCAAGTGTCCCTTTAATCCCGGTCCGCGTATGTAACATCATTTTGTTTGCAGTTTTTCCAATCGTATACGTGAGTATATAAGCACGTAAAAATAATAAACGTACGCGATTGTCGCGAATCCGGATAAGTGCTCGTAATACACATTCATGCGGCAAAAACACGCGGACGTCTAAAAACAAGGTCACGGGAATAATCGATCGTAGTACGTGCGCTTTTACGTGTAGTGTTACGCGCCTCGAAAGCCGTCCCCGTCGGCGCGTTTACGAATCCTATGCGCAGTCCGGCCCTAACCGAAACGCGGCCGCGAGCTGGTATTCGGAGTTTTCGCCGGGGTTTTTATGTACGAAACGGGACGTGCCCCGAATCGGTTTCCCGGGTCATACCCAGTGACATGAGTACCGGGTGGGCAAACGCCATGGGCTCACAACAGACGAGAGCCCTAGCAGTGGCCTCTAGACCAGGGCATTGTTGGACAAGTGAGGATCTTTTTGACTAACCCCCTCCCCCCTTATTTGTTTGGCTTTTAGTACCTTAATACAACATTATGCCACGGCCATCGGAAGTTCTAGTTATGCCGCTGCTCGTTTCCCGCATGCCGTATCGGTTTGAAAAAAGTACTTTATGAATGCGAGCCGAGTCGGTTCCCGTTTTAATACCTACACATTTTATACAATAAACGCAAGGTATAATGCAGTACGTTTTTAAACTTTTATCGTAGGTACTACGGCGCGGCGGGTATTTGATAGTTATCGAAGTGATAAAATACTTTTAAATCGACGTATTGCCGAATTACCGTAATCGATTAAGATTTAACGTCAATCCGTCCGGATACACGTATCTAGAATATATTATGGCTACATAATATAAAATACATAAATGTTTCTGTAGTATAAAAACTAAATAATTCTTAGTCGACAGTCCTAAGCCTGTAAGAAGGGGAAGGGAAATGTGCGTATTTGACTGTTTTACGAACAGCGGGAACCGATTCGACCGGGTACGTCACTAATTAAAACGGGAACCGATTGGGCCAAACGAGAACCGATTCGGATGCACCCACGAAACGTACTGTGGGGCAAGAGCAGTGGCGTTACTTTTAATGTCCGCGGCAAAATATTGTATAAAGGCCCTAACGGCCGATCCGATGAGAAAAAAAAAAGGCGAATGTCATTAAAAAAGACATTCACCCGTGTCCGATAATGCCTTGGGCTCTGGCCAATGCCACTGCTAAGGCCCATGTCGGTTGTGGGCCCGTGGTGTTTGCCCACCTCGCCCGCCCAGTATTTACGCCACCGGGCACGGGTAACGCGCACTGGCCGGGGTCACCACCATACGGCTCCGACGGAGTCGGCGTCCCGATGGAGCGTACAGGCAAACGACCGCGACGACGGCTCGGGCCGAACCCGGACAGGCTGTGTAAATACGGTACCCGCCGGCTCTCGGCGGCGCGTAACGACGTGCCGGCGGCGGCGGCGGCGGTTTTTATTACACTTTTTTTTTTTTTTTATATTCTCTCCCTTTCGTGACCGCGTGGCGCGGCGCCGCCTTTGGCACGGCAAGAGCCGTTTTCGAGTTCAGTTCCGCGACCACGTCCGGCCATTAAACAATACGCGCGCGCCGCCTCCCTCCGTCGTCGTCGTCGCCGTCGTCGTCGTCGCGGGCGACAGTTATCCCGTGAGTATATTAGAATATTAAAATTTTCGTTATAAAATCCGCGATATTGTTAACGATGGTCGTCCCTTTAGTGCGCCCCGCGGGTCGCGACGTCCGTGTCCGCACACGAGACCGCCGCCGCGCCGAGGCTGTGCGACGTCTATAATCCCCGTACGAGTGAGTACATAATATAATAACATCGCGGGATTTCGGGATGCGTTTTCCCGCGCAAAGCTCGTGTTTGTGCGGTGTATATTTAAATCGAAAACCGAGAGACATTTTATTTCGCATTTTTCATTTTAAACGTCTTTTCCCCGCTCCGTTTTTGAGAGGGGGGGGCATTAATTTGAATGTTCACCGCGGTTTTTAAGTTTTACGGGACGACATTGAATTCGCACGTTTCGACTGCAAATCGCAACAATGATCTCGCTGCAGTGTAATAATGCCTACACTATTCCGGAATTCGTTAAAATTATTCTAGTCGAAAAGGTTTACTTTTCGATTTATGATGTGCGAAGTACTAGCATTATATTTAGATATGTTTAAAAGGGGATGTTTTTTTTTTTTTGTTCGTGTATTTTATACTTTTAAATCTTTAACCGTTTATCTGTAGGTATATCGATTTGCTCGGTATTATTTTTTTTCCGATTTGTTCGGAAGAATTTTATATTGCATTACTAGGTCAAAATATCGTGCTGTTTCTTTTTTTCTTTTTATGAAATAAAATAATACATTAAACACAAAGTTTACATCAGGTTTATTTATTCGCCATTTTAAACTTTCGAATAAGCTCTTGATGTTTTTTGCATTATATATAAAAAAAATAATAATAATAATATTTAACATTTCAATATTAGTATAACGTACTATTATATATGTACTGTATTACCCATTGCAGTTTAACCATTTAATTGCGTCGAATTGATTTGCATTTCAGTATAACCGACCAAGCAGGAAAAAACGACTTGTACGACCTACCCACTTAAAATTATTATTACTTTGTCGTTGTTTTTTTATGATTGAAAATTTGCACAACATCCGCATGACGTACCTATATAGATATTTATCTGTATTTAAATTTCTAAATATATATTTAAGCGTTTTAAAAATAAAATAAACTTTGTTAGTCTACATATAAATTATGTATCTACGTAAATGCAGTCGACGATTTTTAATACCATGGTATTATGGTAAGTCATATCGAAATTATAGCTGACTCCAGGAAGAATTGTATTGAAACAAATACTCGGAGTATTCTAACCATGGGCGTAAAATGCGGGGGAATATAGTCCTCTAGAATCTATTCTAGCCTCCTCACAATTTCTTAAAGCTTCCCTGAAAATGAGCATACTGTATATAGTTTTCTCGTTAGCCTTATTTTTTGCAAAAACGTACGGAAATTTAACCCCCTAAACCCCTTCCCCACATCCTACGCCTATAATTCTAACATATGGTTGTGATTATGAACAAATACGAATAAAATAGACCGGAGGCCACGACACTGTAGTTAAAGATAATAGTTACAAGCTAGATACAAAGGAGAACTATAGCAATAATGAAAGTGTTTTATAACAAGTAAACGAAAAGCGAAATCGTTCAAAGCGCATCATTGAGAGGAAGACAAAATAATCGGATTAAATCATCCCTAACACAAACAGTGGAGGATTTGGACGGTAAACGGAGTTACCATTTTACCACAATTTACCAATTGATGAATTAGCGTACGCCCCCTGTAAATATAGTACAAATACTGAGCGTACAACTTTTTTATTATATAAAATGTATCAATTATCTGTAAGTTTTAAGTTAGTACTGTGTAACAATCGGGTTAAATAGGATTGGTTATTACCTGCGAGTATTGGTTAACATTTGTTATGTTTGTTCATGTTGTTGCTAATATAAAAGTTATTATTATTATTTTTTTGTTATACATATGTAAAAAGGTTTAAAAAAGAATATATTTTTTAAAAGTATAATATTGTTTGAATACATTTTGTCATTTTTTTATATTCGACAATGGATTTCGTATTAAATTATGTAAGTTTTTTCGTCGGACGTTGGTGTGGGTTTATCATCTTATAAGTTTCAATTTGATAGTAAAAAAAAAAAATTAATTAAAAGAATTATTAACTTAAATCCGACCTGTGAAATAGTTTTTAATACATAAATAAAAATGTAAAAAAACTGGGTAACAAAAATATTGTTTTTTTAAAGTTTGCCAATTTATGACTGTCGTACTATGCAAGAGTCTTGTGAAAAAGTTTTTCACGAACGGAGCGACCGGCTTTTCGAATGACTGAATCTGATTGTAGTTTTGTGCTTATAAAATTACAATATCCGTTGCTTAAATATTCATAAACGAGCGTATAGTTTTTTTCTTTCGAAAACAACACAACATATTTCTAGGAAACTATCTGTGATAGGATGGTTATGGGGAGAAGAAGCGAAAGGAGACCGAGACCGTTTCTTTAAAGACAGCGAGACAAGAGATTGAAGTGATCACTTCAATCTCGCTTCGTACACAGACCTGAAGAGAGCAGCGAATTGCGGAACGGATTCGGCTTGGCCTTTTGAAGCTGATGTTTAGGGAAGTTAGGATATGGGTTGCTGCGATACATATACCACGGATTACTAAGAAAAACCGAGGACCTCAAAGAACGGAGATCTGCCGTTAACCAGTCCATGCGGGCTGTTATAACGCAAAAAAGTGATACAATTTGTACGTAACATATTCGCAAAATTGGATTTATGATAAAATAATAGCGTGGGTATATTGTTTGACGGAAAAAAACGCGGTGATTCATATTTCGTATAATTCGTAACCGTATAATAGATTTTTTCGAAATCAAGCGATAAATACCTACATACCTACTCATAAATACCTATTCGCGTATTATAATTAATATAAGAACAACGCGAATTAATTTATTTTATACTGTCTACCTTGTGTATATTATATTTTAATTTGTGCACATCACTTATTTCAACAATGTCGTTATGCATAATATTTAAATTATAAGTATCCGGATGCCTGTATCTATCAATAATTAGCTATTAAATTATATTTTAACGAACGTCTCGGTGAAATTACGGTCATACAATTAAAAACGCATAATATTGTAAATCGAATAACGCACTCTCTCTCTTTCTCTCTCTCTCTCTCTCTCTCTGTCTATCATTTCGCAGCGTTTCCGCCGATAATTTTAAATTGTAGTCAGGCGTATACGCAAAACAATTTCGATTAAATAAACGACTAATAAATGTATTACAGCGCATAATTGGCACGGGCGTCCGCAGGAAATCGATCAGGGATGGGCATAATAAAACCAAACGCCAAAAAATTACTTAAAACAAAATTATAATAATTGCCTAATTATAAAAATTATATTTGAAATTTCGGAGTTCAGAGGGAGGCAGATGCCTCTTCTTGCCCCCTTCCCCTCCGCCCGGGTGTCCGCGGTGCATATTAATTATAATAAAATCTGAAATATTATCACCGTTAATTTTAAAACCAGAAGAAATCGCATTCATTTAACTCAAATAATGATAAAATACAATTATTTCAAATTACAATTTTTATGTAATTATGAGCCGATTACCGCTCTCTTTAAGCAAGGTGGCGGCGAGAGAGGGGAAACATGTATCTATGTCGAATCGAAAACACATTACAAATAGGAGATACGACGAACTGTTCGAAAATTATTCCGTGCCGATTTCGCGTGGTCACCAACACGGTGTTCTGTGGCGGGACAGAGCGGCCTTGTTAACGAAAACGAAAAATTTAATTAAATTTTTTTTTCGCTTTTCGATTAGTGCGGGTCTCACAACAACCGTGAATTGGTAATGGTCGAAAGGGTCAACACCCGAACTAACCTGACATTTTTACGTTTTTAATGTTGTAACATCTCCGATTAAAATGCATACCCAACGGTCGTTCGTAGTTATCACTCGGCCGGGTCTGCCGCGGCGACCAGATCGATTGGCGTGTGGCGAATTTCGGGAATTTTTGGTCGAACACCCGTGTCGAAACGTAAACGGGAAAAAAATATTTACGCGTTACAATAACGCGCGTACGTGATGTCTGGCGTAAATGCCACGGTCCCTGCACTCGGACCCGTGATATTATTTACACGGGCCTATAATGCACGCTGATACAGCAGCCGTTTATTGAACGCGTAAAGATGCGAGACAATACGCATTACGGTGCACGGGGACGTCGAAACGAGTCGCGTTTCGGCGTGTCCCGGACGGGGAAACGATTCAATCGAAAAAAGGCGTACATTTTTTTTTCGTTTTTTTCCTCTCTCCCGCCGACCGCCGGCAGTTGTCGGCGAGAGCCCACTCCGACATTACAATGTCCTACTCAGTTATGCGCCTACCGCGTGTCGTAGACGCGTACGCAACGTTATTGTACTGGCAGTGCCGCGGGATCTGTCGATTTCGTGTCGCGTTACGACGGCCGGCCGTGACGTTGCGCCCGACGAGGTTGCGGCCATGCGATACGGAAACTTGACCGTCTCGGCCGTTGTGGATTTGTTTACGTGCGCGAACTTGCGCGACCACAATCGCGTCGCCCGTATTATTGTTTACACGGCGAGCGCGCTCTGGTAATCGCGGGTTAAGTCGTTTTTAACGACACTGTTGTTGTCGTCATCAAAACCGCGCGTCGGCGTGCGCGAACGGTAACGCGGGGAAACGAACGTAAAGACGTTTCGCGCGGTCGGTCGTTTGAAAACCCGTAGGCGATGTCCAATAGCGACGCCGTTTTTTGTTTTGTTTTTTTTTTTTCGAGGGGAGAGGAGGGGGTAGAAAGCGCGGGACGCGCCCTTGCGTTTTTCTCGTCCGCGTCTATTAATGATCTAGGTGTTAATCGATACTCTGGCCCGTGTTTTAATTTTTTTTTTTTTTCCGTTTATCGAAATATTGCGCACAGCGACATTACGTTTTGACAATTTTTTTTTTCCGGCATGGGGAATTGGCCTCGATCACGTTCGCGCCCTCTTATAGGGGCTGTATGACATGAGCGCCAGAGGTGCCAAAATGACGTATCATTTGCGCCAAAATTAATATTTTGTACATTTTACATGTGTAATAAGGAATTTAAAAATATTTAAAATTGTCAACAATCGAATGTTAGATTAAACGTTTGGAGTTCTTGAACGATATAGTTCTAAATTGAATATCACACAGACACGGTTAATAAATACATCAATTACCTACATAACATGTATTATATATCTATTAAACATGGCACACGGGTATGCCTAGGATTTCGGCGCTTTCATACGATACGATATTTTTTTTTCTCATCTCATTTTGGCGCTTATGTCTTCCACCGCTCATAAGAAACGGACATGATTATTAACGTGTGCTATTGATGTGGGTCAATTCGTACTTACTATAGGTGTCGGTACTGTATAAAGAAAGAAAACAAAACAAAACGCAATATCGTGATTTTTTTTTTTTTTGTTATCTATGAACGTACCGGATCGAGGTTTCTGGTGTTATCATTTCGTTTTTGGCGGTTCGACCGTTTTCTTTTATCATTGATCGTTACAAAATACATGTGCCAGGATCTCTTATGCGGGCTTGCACTGTTGCGTACTTATTCACCAAGAAATAATTATACCAGTGGACGGATACCGTTGAAAGGTACTCTTTGTGTTATACATGTATAACACGCGTAATAATATTATAATATCCAATTAAATAAATGGCAATTTCTTATTTTGTGCATTAAAATGTTGTATTTTACAAATACCAAAAAGAGTCCGATTTCCGCGTCTGTTAATAAAATTGTTGTAGCTGCGACGTTACACGGTAAAGGAATTTTCCATTTTAAAGAACCGGTGAAAATAAATGTCCTCCTTCCCCTCCCCCACCCCCTCACACCGATGAGAAAAGCCTAGGTACGCCATTGAGCCCGATATTAGCATAATAACTCATTTCTCAATAGTCTCAACGCAGTCTGGGTGTAAGCTCAGTATATCGCCTGACCACGGCGTTGTATGAACGAAGTGTTTTTAATTGGACCATATTGTAAACCGCGTTTTTATTCCGTAATAAAAAGTTTATGTTCGGTTTTTGTTTTTATGCTAAATGCAATGCACACATTAATGTAACGCAAACTATCCCACGAAATACGTCTAATTCAACGCCGTTGTTGAACCTTCGCGGAATCCGTTCTCAGGCTATACACTTCAAAACAGATTGATTACCGCCGTCGCGCGTACACTAAATAGACCAACAGACAGCGCGTTTGAACTACGGCGCGAGTTATACGCTTACGACCTACCCACCGCGGCGTTTTCCGGCGAATGATCATTTTTTATAAACGGTTTCGGAGTTATTCGATTCGATCGTCGGGAACGGACGGGCCGCAGTTCCGACGAATAAAATCGAAACCCCGTCCAATAAATAAATCGGATCGTTTACTCGGAGACATTGATGTCGCGGTGTCGCAATTGTAATGGATTTCGTTCGAATCGGTTCCTGTACACATTACGCAATAATCTAACCGGAAACCGTTATTGTTTAAACGTGAACCGCCTATGTATTTGACGGGAGCGCGGAAAATCGAACACTGACAATGGCAACATTTGGATTTTAGGCTTTTTCCAAATTTTGAATTTTGATTTCCCGAGTCATGCTATATGGCCGTCCAATTTTATTGATTAGTTTCAAGTCGGAATTACAACCGTAAGATATGCCATTCATTTTTAAATTGTTGATCTCAGACGTATTCGGTACACAACATAACCAAACCTTATCTAACCTATCGAAATTGTATTGTTATTTCAATGTTTCAAAATTAATACATTGGCGTGATATCTCTTTATTTTTATAGCTCGTCGGTTTTTCAAGAGTCTTAGCTGTCGACGCAACTTCCTTCCTTTTTGTTTCTATCTCCGATACATTATTCTCAATCAATATTTCCTATTTTCTCCGTGGGTTTTTTTTTCACTCCGTCCGACCAACGTTTTCCGGGATCCCCTCTCTTGGCCTTTTAACTATTGATTTCCATTCTATACCAACCCCGTGTCCGTTTTCCTTTTCCTCGCTCATTGGATGTCCAAATCGTTGCGGCCTTCGTCTTTTGAAAAAAGTTTGTTATATGTACGTTAATTATTTTGTTGGCTCGTGGGTTTTCTTTTTGTACTTCCTACGTTTTCGTCTCGTTTCTATTTTAAAACACTGCATATCGATGTCAATATTTTGTTTTCTAATGTGATTTATGTGATGATTATAACACTAACGTTACGAAATACGCCAGTAGCGTTATTGGAAGTAGATCTTATTACTAACATGCTAAATTATTTTAACTTTGTCTGTTTCGCGAAAATCTCAGACCTACCATCACCTCAAATGTGAACGAATTCAAAATATAATTTCACAATTTCACAGGGTTTTCGGTATAAAAAAATATGTGCCATTTGTACTTAATTAGATTTAAAGTTACAATCATATCGTATTAAGAGGTATACACGGTGTCCTACAGCGTTATCCAAATGATATAATAACTCTTTCAATGTTCATTTTTTCCCACCAAGTTTTAGGTGTCAGGGGGAAATAAATGTAGAGAAATAACTTTTTATTTTTTCACTTTTTGAAATTTTCAAAATAGTCACTTTGTAAAATACCGAGTGATTCATTTAACTGGGTACACTCATTATCTCGGAAAAAATGAACCTTTTCTGGAATTCGTTTTCTAGAACACTTTAGAAACAAGCTGCTCCAAAATTGTATAATTGTGTTATTTTTTTTGTCACCATTATTTTCGGGGGTAAAAACACTACCTACTTTTGATTTTCAAATGGCAACCTATAATTAAAAAGTCCATAAACAGATTGAGTATTAGTAAAAATAAATTTTAGTGTTGAAATCTTTGATTTCTGCCGAGCCGTTGACGAGATATATGACTTTTAATTTAAGGTCAGAGGCGATTAGTGGCGCATTATTAACACGCCGAGCGCCAAACCGCCATACTAATGATACTCCACCACTCTCGTCCAACCCAAACTTAAAAGTGGAATATCTCGTTAACGGATCGACGGAGATTTGAATGTATCATGCATTCATATCCGATTAATAGTTTCTCAGTTAAAAATGATGATAAAAAAATGATGGTAGGTAATATTCAATAGACGATAAGGAATTACCGTGCTGACTATGACTCCTTATCACGTGACGTGTTATTCTATTGAAAATTAATAGGGGGGGAGGGCATTGGAATTTCGATTTTGCGTAATATAACCACTAAAAAAAAAAATTGAGTTCGTTATACATAATTAACATATTTTATATTAAGAGAACGTGTCACCTCCCGTATTTAAGGGGTTGTGTATAGGCAATTTTCTCGAAATATTTGAAAAAATGTCAATTCAAAAATATTAAATAATCAAATTCACTTTCAAATACATTTGAATCGGCCATTCGAGAAAATATATAAATCGTAATTATTAAATTTATGGTAAACTTTAAGTCTTAAAGTGCAATACAGCTACGAAAAATGATCTGTACCTTAAACCTTAAAAGTATAGTGATGATTAATGTCATTTCCTTGTATAACACGTATCTGTCATCAGAGAACCGAAATCTCGTTTTATCGAAAATAATGATGTTTTTCAAATGACCGATTTATTTACGAAAAAAAGCCCCGCGTTCAGTGGCGTGCCCAGAAATTATCAATGAGAGGGGATGTATAGCAAATATGAATCATGAATAAATTATAAATTCGTTTTCTCCATCCGAATTTACTGTGGGAATTGGTAATTTAAAAGCTGGATTCTAAAAAAGGCCATGATTTCTAATCATTGTATCAAGTTTTTCCTCGTAACTACGTTGAAATATATACATTTCGACATTAGATTACTCATTGTTTTTTGTATTTTAAGCCCAATGAGGGGATTAACCCCTAACCTCCGTCCCCCTGTGCACGCCACCGACCGCGTCTATCGTAAATATTTATTGTAAAATTCGTGAAATTAACAAAACTATTTATGAAAAACGGTTTCGCGCGGACAAAAATTATTCGGGATGTTCACTTAGTTAAGAGACCGAATTTTCGCAATAAAAAAATAAAGATAATTTTCACCGTAAAACGATGGCTTTAGATTTTCGTTATCACTATTCAAAAATAAGTTCTTCGAGATTGAAAACTTAAAACTATCAGATTTTTAAACAATAGGTTTTTTTTTTCTATTTGTAATAATTATTATGATAATACCGCAAAAATAAAACCAACGGTTCAAGTTCTCCTTATTTCTACGACCGTTTAAATTTCTCAATTAATATTCCATATTCCGAGTAAATTTTTCCCCGCGCTTAACGGTTTTCACCAGTCGAATTGCGTGCTCGTACGTTTGCTTCTCGATTGTCATCTCGAATGGATAAAAAACATTGAACACGAAAATAGTGACGTTTAACTCGTCGTCAATTTATAAGCTAAGCCACTCTTCTTTAATTAAGGCCACTCTTCCCTGTTCGGAGCCACTCTTTTCAACAAAACATAAGACGCACAGTTCACGAGTTCTTGGATTTGTTCGAAATATTGTCTTCTTGAACGTCCTCTTGATATCTTCCCAGTAACTTTTACGTCCAAACATGTTGGTCACTGAGTCATCGCGTCAAATGACGTGACGTTCAACCATTTATTAAAAAAAAAAAAAAAAAAAAAAAATGACAAATTCAAATTACACTTTCGACATGTATACATTATGCAAGTCGGATCATCGTATGTATTTTAGCTCTACAAAACGTAGCTAAAGAAGATGCATGACGCATACATATACTAACTAAATACCGGTTCATATAGTTTCGTGTATTATATTTTATATGTAACCGTTTTTACATTTTGTTTTTTTTTCACCTAAAATACTATAGAACGGCCATTTTTGTTTGTTTTACTAGCCGACACTTCGACGCGAGTATGTCTTCGGACAACGAACCGACTTGGAGGACGTGCAGGAAAGCCGTTTGGATGTTAATTCAAAATTCTAACAATTTAGCCGACGCTCAAGATTTGTTGAACCGACAAGAGGACCATGATCTGCATATCGCGAGCGGAAAATGTTTTATTTTACTACTGGTCAGTCGTTATGTTATATATTTTTACTAAAAAAAGCTGTTCTAAAATAATGGGAACGGATGCTCCCACTATCGTAGGCGGGAAATTGGGTAGGTAGGATATAGACGTGAATTTAATGCATATCTGTACGCAAAGATTAACTATTGCTAACAAAAAACAAACGGTTCTAAGCGGAGTTCGGTTGATAGTGTTGCTCTGTGAACAATATTATGTCATATTATGGTGAAATAATTACAAACGTGTTAAAAATTTTCTTTAATAATATTTGTTAATATTTTACCTATTTCTCCGTTTTTCCCCCGGTTTTGTCTAGTTATTGGGAAACTCATGGGAAAATCAAAAAATGACCTCCTTAAAGTACCACCCCAGTCAGATTTCTTTTTAGAAAAAGTGCTATCATTGTAAATCGAAACAAAATTTCTGATAGAAAAGTTGTTCACGGATAGAATAAAAATAATAGTAAATAAATAAACATCATTGTAAAACCAAAACATGGCTCGCTCCGTTCAGAATCTAAAATGTTCGACCAAATAACACTAAGTACACTAGTATAGGTACCCAAATGGCGTTTTTATTTATCGTGTCGCGCCCGGACGGGTTTCCGCCGATTTTCCAGACGGCCATTCGAACGCCGGAAAAATCGTGCCTGGAGCGCGCGCTGGCCGAGTTCAAGTGGCTGGAGTCCCGGTGCTGCCCGAAGACGGCGGGCGGTTGGCTGATGACGGTCAGGCGAAAACTGTTCCCGTCCAAGGCGGCGGGCGTCGACGATTACGACAGGCAGATAACGCTGGCCGACGCGACGGCTTGCATGGTGGGCCTGACCGTGGTCGGGCACGCGGACGACGCTTCGGTGACCACCGCGGCCCGGGCCTTGTACGCGTTGCGACGCGCCTGGAAGATGTACCAGCAGTGTTACGCTTCCGTGCTGAACTTGTACCGGGACGTTTACGACTTGGACCCCGGTAATTATCGTAAAAAATGAAAAATCCGTGCGCCTGCAGTAGGTGCGTGGGAGGTTTTTTTTTTAGTATTTTGAATAGCGCGAAACTTCGCTGTTGACCGCGGTGAAATTCGTTCGGTCCGGGTTTTTCGCGGGCGTAACGATTGAACCGTAAAACATCACTGAACAAATAGCCGATACTGACGACCGACGGGTGCGCCACTGTTGCAGGTGCAAAGTCGGGACGGTACGATACGCGTACGTACAACGCCGTGTTTTATTTTCGTTTATATCTGTACGCGCTACGCTTAGTAAAAAAAAAAAAAAAAAAAATTAAAAAAAACTACTGTCGCATTACGCTATAATCGTTATTTTCACCGTTAATTTTGATGTACTCCGTGTAAAATTTTCAGCGAGAAACGAGAGAATCGCCAGTTCGTAATAAGTGAATCACACCGTATGTCACGCGTAATCTATTGACAGGCCCGTAAAACTACGGCAGTGGCGGTTTTTAATCAATACAATTATACCTAACAAATACAAATTACGCGAAACAACTCGCGAAATAAAATTGTCCGTAAATAGTTCGAAAATGGCTTTAGGGTTTTGAACATTTTACTACGTCGTCCAGTAAAGACCAATATAAGTTTTCTGTCCAGATTTCAAGCGTCTACGGCTATTTGAAACTGAATGACGACAAAAAAACAAAATTGAAAGTAATAAAATAATTATGTTCGTACATTTTCCCGTTCTTTCTACGGGATTTTTTTCTTTAGTTTTGTTCAATTATTAAGAAAACCAACAGAGAAAACCGAAACGACTTTCTTAGTCGCCAACTGTATTAAAAATGCAACGAAAACGGTCTCTTGTAGTTTTGCTTTTATTGAAGTAATGTTTCCGATGGAACGCACAAAGTGTAAACATTTAAAATAATGAAATAGCATAACGCCGTGAATTTATCAGTTTTCATTTTCCGTCTTGTTGCGGTTTTTCCCGATTGCTGCAAAAATGTAAAGTCACGCAATCTAAATAGTTGTCCGATTATCCCTGTACGTTTTTTTTACGATTTTTCCCCGGAAAACGCCCGAAAAAATAAAACAACCGGCTCGGAGTACCCCGAGCAGATAGAATTTCGTTTTGAGAAAATACACACGGTACGTCGGAGCTCGATTTCTATTAGAAAAACCGTTCGCGGAAGACGGAAGCCAGTGGCCCGCGCGCGTTTTTTCGCGTTTTCGACGTCGCGACGGCGCTTCTATTTCGGTCGCGCGGCCGACCCGCCGCCCGCGAAGACCCTAATTGAATTATTAATACGGCGCGGGGGGGGGGGGGGGGGGGAGGTGGTGGTGGCGGCTTCGTGCGGAACGGCTCCGGGCCCGCGCGCGTATTCGATTCGATTCGATTCGATACGTGCCGCGGCGAACGTCCGCCGGGTCCGGGCCCGTTGTCCGTGCGAGCGCGCCGTCCGTGGAAAAACGCGCGCGCCGCTGCACGTTTCCCATGTACTGCGCCGGCGGTTTTCAGAAGACTCGTTTCGACCGCGGCCCGCCTCGCATTTCCGCAGCGTTTTCACGGCGCGCCGCGGCCACCGGTTTTCGTCCGTTGCGGTTGTTAGGTTTTTCGCACGAACCCAGAGTTGACAACGACCTGCGAACGAATCGTAATCGGAACGTTGTACGGTTTCGCGCTGAACGAGCGGTTCGCCGTAACCCGTGACCGGTGGCCCGTCACAGTGTTTAGGCAGAACCGGTTTCAAGCGACCGCGGCACGCCGGTTGGAAAACCGCCGCTCTAGGTCCGATTCAAGCCCGGATTAAGGGTGATGGGGGGAGGGGTTCCGGGGAGGGCCACGGTTCGCGGACCGTCGGACCACCAGGGCCCCACCCCCCCCCCCAGTTTCGGCCACGGCGTAATAAAATGTTTCTTTATACGTGCGCGTTTAACCGTTGACTTTGTACATTGACGATGACTGGTTCGCGTAATTATAAACGGTACAAACGCCAAAATGCCGGTGACTGTGAAAAATAACGCGTTTCCGTTTGTTCAAACAATACTCGCGGCTTGTGAACTGAGTACTGTTTGTACGTTTTGCGCGTTACGCGTTTTATTATTTCTCTGTTCTGTCGAAAAACATATTGATTAGGAAAACCGTTTTTTTTTTTTTTTTTTTTTTTTTTGTTTTGTTTTAAAAGAAAAGAAAAAAACCGTATTATATTCCTTCGGCGAGAGCGTCGTTGAAAAGTTCGGCCCCCGGGGCCTCTAAACGTCTTAATCCGGGCTCCGCGAACGAATTCGATTCCCCCGACCCACTCCCATCCACTCCCCCCCTCCCCCCCTCTCCCACGCCATCTCCGTCGGAGCTTACGGGGAAAAAACCGGAGACCGTCGGGCCCGCCTCTTCGCGGCACGTAATGCCGCGCGCGAAAAGCCCTTTCGCCGCCGCCGTGCCGTACGCGCGCAAAACAGCGCGCCCTTCCCCTCGCGTATCTCGCGGACATCCCTTATTTTTTTTCTTCACTCTCGTTCCCTAATTATTATGTATGCTCGCCGCGGGATAGAGCCGTGCCGCGGTGTCAGCGAGCGCCGCCGCGTATCGATTTTGACGACACCGCGCCGTTGAACCCGCGGCCTTTAAACTCTCGTTTTCCCGCCGCCCGTCTTCTCGCTCGCCGTCGGCGCGGCGAAAGCAAACCGTCGTCGCCCCGGACGCGTATGACCGAGGCGCACGCGGTTAGAGAACCCCGCGGAAATCCTGTTCTCCGAACGGCTGTGATCCCAACAAGATGGACATTTCATTGACCGCAATCACGATCAGTTCGTGCGAACTAAAAAGTTTTTGTTTTTTTTTTTTTTTTTTTTATTAAAACACCGTTCGTATTAGATTACGTATAACCGCACGTGTGAAGGAAATAATTTTTTAATAATTTTAACATTTAATATCGATTATTTTATGATGAACTATCGTTCCATAATTAAATACGTTAAAAAATTCAAGTCTTAGTGTATCCTACAAAACAAAAATAAATAAAAATAATCTAATGTAATAAAATAATATGAATAACACACAAACCATTTTTTACCAGCTGATAATGAATAATTGTTATCTCGTTGTGATTAGAGCGAATCGGCGAACAGGATATCCATAAGGTTCCCTAACAATGTACGTTTTGCTGGTATGCGCCCCGGACGTTTCTCGTTCGCACTCGTATAATCTGCAACAATATCGTTCTGTAGAATCGGACGAATGTTATAGGGTTTTTTTTTTTTTTTTAAGAAATGTAAATCGAGCCAAGTTTTCCTAGTCGGATCGATTCGACGTCGCACCAATAGGCACCCGAACATTTACGGTTCTACATTATTTATCGGTGAATCGTAGGCTGCACGGGACCGGGGAAATTTCGATTATTTTTTTTTCAGAACGCCATCTAGCGTATAGTAATAACATCGAGCTCTGTAATTATTTGCGTCGGGAAAAATTGTACGCGTAGTTTGTTTTCTCCGTCTGCCAGGCAAAAAAGACGCTCCACGCGCCGACGATCGCGACTCTTGGGTCGAGATATTCGCGAAGGGTCCTGTATACGTAGGAGATGCCTAGTGTTTACATCATTTAAAAAAAAAAAAATAATAATAATAAAACAGCCGAGTAACTAGTACTCGAGTAAATAGAGTACTCGTGTTGACGTGTACAAAAAAAAAAAAAAAAAAAATGAAAAATGTCGAGTACTTTAAATCGACTCGAGAATTTTTCCAGAGTCGAATACTCGCCCGAGTCTATCGAGTAATAACGCGCTAAAAAAGTTCGCGCTATGTTCATTATGCTGTTTCAGACCGGAACGTTCCGCAATGGCCACCGGTGTTGAAGCGCAGACGGTCCGTCACTTCGGCTCCGGCTTCGAACATCGGGACTCGCATGCTCCGCTCGGCCACCACGTCGTTCGAGACGTTGCGACGAAATAGGTAATGTCACGACGCGCTATTGTCCGAGAATGAGTTTTCACATGGCGACTGGGTTCAACGGAAAAATTCGATATTCTAAACGAGCGGGTTCTTGACGCGAGCGGCGGCGCCCCCTAGGGGGGGGATTCCGGTCCCTCGAGAAGGCGGTAGGTTTTGAGGGGTCGTTGGGCGGACGGTGAGCTTACACGTTCGGAACGGCGGTAAAATAAAAAAAAAAACGCCGGCGTCCAGCGACACGGCATTGTCGCACGTGGAGCCGGATTGAGTTTTAATAATGAAAAAAATGCAAAAGATTTCGCTGTAATATAACACAATAATAACCCGTATAAAAACGGATAATCGAAAAAAAAAAAAAAGCAAAAGACCAATAAGGAAATAACAAGCCAATAGGTTTGCGCGAGAGGGTGTCAGCGGTCAGTTAAACCGGTGAGGGGGCGCTGAAACGGAAACAGTTATTAGGAACCACTGTTCTAAAATAAAACGAAATGAACTGACGCCGTCGGAAAAAGGCCCGCGACACTCTCTATCTTCCCGTGTTAAGTACCACGACCTCGAGTCTCCGAAATCATTAGTTTTGATACCGATATTCAATACGGATCATCAAGTTGCGATAACGTAACTTGGGTGAAAAACCGTAATCTATCTGATTGATGCGGGGGCCTACGTGACTCGTAGGTTTAGATTTCAGACCATAGGAAAAGAAAACCGAACAGCCGATTGAGTGTCATCCATGCATTGCGCGTGTTCCGCGACGGGCCAGTTTATCAATCAGACGAACAATCCGATGGATTTCGATGTTCTACGTCAAATCCGATTAATCTGATTACTAATCAGATTGTTTGTCGGTGCACCGGATCGCCAATCAACAAAATAGTCGGTTTGCTAGACGGCAGAAATGTATTGTTTAGATTTAGTTTCGCAACGTTTTTTTTTTTTTTTGCTATCCGTTTTACATTTTAATATGTTCATAAAATTGAATATATTTATTTAACGTTTATACCGTAATCCAATTCAATACGACACAATGCGTTTACGCATCATCAGGTTAACATCTATTGTCGAATAATTGTTTAGACCACGCGATAGAGCACTCTGTTTGTCAATACGCATCGGTGTTCGTTAACGTTCAATCGGCCGTACAACACCGGGCGTTTCGTCCGATTGATAACCGAGGTTCCCGAGCGGAACACGCGGAACCCGGGACATGATAACACGAGGATTCGTGCGGGTACACAACCGGTGCGGTGTACCCGCTTAAATCGGACAACGCCGTCCGCCGCCGATCTGATTAGGTCGGTCGGATTCCGTTTGCCGCCGTGGCCCGTCCCGAACGGGGGAACGTTCAATGCGCTGTCTGGAGGGTGGCCCGTCCGCACCGCGTCCGCGCGTTAACGATTTCGATCGGTTCGCCGCCGTCGCAGCGGTCACGTTATTGTTGTTGTTGATGTTGTTTGCGTAGCGTGCCCAATGCGGACGCGATGCCCGACGACGTGGTCAGGCTGATGGCCGCGGTCAGCGTGGGATACGGAGCGTTCAACTTAATGGTCTCGCTGTTGCCGCCGACCGTGGTGTCCGTGATCGGAATGTTGGGTTTCCGCGGGCACCGTCAGACCGGACTGGACGCCTTGGCGTTCGCCGCAAACGGCCCCGACGTGCACGCGCCGCTGGCATGGTGAGTACCTTGGCCCGTACGCGCGACGCGGCCGCGAGAGTGTCGCTTGTCGATGTTCAACGGCGCATCGCCGCCGTTGACGGGATTTCGGTCGGGTCGTTGGCGTCGGCGGCTATTACGGCCGGGCGCCGACCGGTTCGCGTACGCGGACCCGATCGCGCGCGCCGGCTGTCAACCGTTACACGGGCGGGGGCCCGTCACATTGGCGCGAACCCCGCTCCCCGAACCGACGGGCCGTCGGCTGTCGTTCCGCTCGCGCGCGCGTGTTACGTGATTTTCGCGACGGCACCCGCCGGCGTCGTAATCCCGAAAACGATTCGCACGAAAACAATGATTCCGGACCGCGGTTGTTACGGTTTGTAGAACGTCAGTTCTCGCCGCCGTGCGGGGGGGCGCGCGCGCGTCTAAACGGAACGTCCGGCGAGGAAACGCGGTCCGGCGGGGTTTCATTTCTAGAACGGAACCGCGTGAGACCGGGGCCGTCACCGGGGCGAAAATCCGCCACCACTCACGTGCCGGGCCCCACGCGTTTAGCCGATCACGGCCGCCGATCCCCGGGTTGAATGTTCCGTCTGGTCGTATGAGCAGTCGGCGACGGTGACGATATTATGTTAAAATGTCGACAATCGCACGCCGTAATCTGTGCTACGGTTCACCGACAGAATTTCAAATAATTCAACGGATACGACCGCGGTGCGGTTCTGACGTTCGCCGGAGTCGTTCGGGCGTTCGGTGGCCGCGATAATTGCGATGGTAATAATAATAATTTCCGTCCCGCGTAAAACGGGCAACAGGATTTTACGGCTCGAGACTAATGCGGCTGTAGTTTTTCGGTAAAACGATGGCGGCAGTAGGGAAATATCGGGGGGAAAAAATCCCTCAATGCTGTCGGTGAAATTCGAAAAAAAAAATACGATAATAATTATTTCGTCGTACGCGTGCATTATCCGTTCGATTCGACTTCCGGCGTATTAATCGATATCGCGAAAACTAAACGCGAACGAACACAATGTACGGGCAATGCGTTAGGCATTGTTATTGTCGACGCGATGCATTTAACCGCGTTAAAATATACGGTCGCACGCCTCCGCACATCGATGCGCGCGTGTCGCACCCCGGAGCCGAATTTGTCCGATTAACGGACCGGCCAAGCGAATTTCGGCCGACCCGTAAGACGGGCGAAAAAACGGCTGGTAAATGGTCCGTTCCGTGCGAATCAAACAAAACAATACAATTACAATAGACGCGTACAAATATTTTCGACTGTTTTAAAAGCGATATTTTCACTAAAAATTATGGTCCCGGGGACGGTCAAACGGTCGATCGCAGATGATTTAAACGTCGATCTCCGTTTTGTTGGAATTCGTTTTTATGTACTTGATTAGTAGACGAACAACAATCGCTGGTCATTTTTATTTCGTTGTAATTTTATCACATAATACAATTCAACGGAGTTCATCTTGGCAAATTGTATTTACAATAGAACGCTATTACATCAGTATTAATAACTGTGCGATGAAAAAACATTATTTTAACTATACGTTTCAGTTTTATTTATTCGTTCGTGCATATTGATCATTAATACCTATTAGGTAATTAAAAATTAGACATGTTTGTTAGGAAGTCGGTCCACAAAGGAAAATATTATATTCATAGTAGAACTCTACCGAAAAAAGTTGGGCTATCCAAGAATTGTACGAATCGTTGTACATTTATTATCGATTATTTATAAATATATTTTCCAATCGAACGCAAAGAAAATTATTCGTTTTATGAATCGGACGAATACGCCTATAGGATATGATAACAATAATAATAATAATATTTATTTACGCCCGCTATGAAACGTGTTATACAAAATCGTTACGTTCATAAATTATCACTGTTAGGCGTATTTAAACGGTTTTAGATTATAAATGAAATGGTGGCTTTTTGTGTAGCGCAAAATAAATTATTGATCCCTGTACCTATATGATAATAACTGTTACTCGTGTTTATTTATGCGCGCTGCCGGGCTAAAAAAAATATTCAGTACGAAAATTACGAAGACGGGGTTGATTAATTTTTTTTTGTAAAAACTTCAATTTAAACTAACGAAATCAATTAATTCGTCGTCTTCTAATTCTTCTCCGTGATATTCGGCTAATAACGATTAGACCGGAGACCTAGAGAACTAGCGTGGTTCTTAACGTGGGCGGTGATGATCCCTCGTAGGAGGGGGTGGTAGGTTTTAAGGAGGCGTTGAGGAAGGGGCGGCGAGCTTTTAAATTTAGAATGACGGAAAACAAAACAAACACCAGCATCTAGCGACACGAGAAATCAGAAAAGTTATGTACAGGGCCGGATTAGGTTTATGATTTAAAGTTGCATTCGAGATTCCATGAAATAAAAAAACATGTGATCAGCAAACGATTCCTGTAATATAGCATAATAATAACTCGCATAAAGATAGAAAAGCAAAAAAATAAAGCAAAAGCAATAGACCAATAAGGCAATAACAATTAACAAGCCCTATAGTTTTGCGAAAGAGGGCGTTAGCAGTCAGTTATCTCGGTAAAGAGTCGCCGAAACGAAAAAGGTTAAGGACCACTGGATCGGACCATCCCGCCATCATATAAACCTCTCTGTTAATTACCGCAGCCCATCTCCGATCAGCTGCGGATTTTAGTTTTCCGGAAATATTTTTGAAAATTATAGTGTCGCTTTAATCTCGGAAGCCCCGCGTTCGAATGTTGACACCTTTTACCCGAACACTATTTTATTCATAGATATTTTATGCATAAGTCGCGCTCGGTCCGTTTTAATATTTTTAAACGAATATAAAAACAATTCATCAGGGCGATCCTGTCGTGGTACCGTATGATGGGGAACACGGATTTCATGTTCGACGGTCCGCAATCACGAGAAAGCGAATCTCACATTATTGAATCGGAACGGCTGGTACGTAACCCGCCCGAAGAATTCCAAGACTCCACGTCCTTACAATACTTCGTCGGGCGTTTGTACTATCTCAAGGTGTGTAACATTTTTTTTTTTTTTATGACTGTATATTACACCCCCTACCGCTCATTAGTAAAACATAATACTGTCAAAGTGTAAGTGTATAGCATACACAACGGTAAACTTTAATTGGTTTAACTCGACCCAACGTTTTAAACCGTATATATGCACCAGGTTTTAAAAAATGTCACGGACGCTCTGGGCGTCATGATCTCTAACGCCATTTCTATCCGCGACTCGCGAGAAAAAAAATGTGAATGTTTCACCTGCCTACAAATAAAGATATAGTTGTGTACTAAATCGTAGTTGGTCGGGTAAGATTAGGTTAGGTTATCAGTTACCAAATAAATAACTAAAGTGTATATAATTGTTCATCTTGCAGTTTAAACTCACAGTTTATACTTGAAAATAATACCTGCTCATAATAATAGATAACTTTTTTTAAATATACTACGTGTTTTGGCAACGTGTAACCACGTATTTATGTAAATGCGTTTTCTAATTTCAAAATATTATTATCACCTACGACCGCTGTGGTATCTACAATCACAGAACAGTGTTACGACCACGATCTCGTATCAGTTGCGTTGGATTTAATCACACATTTAAAAAGTAAATATTTAACCAGTGCTGCATAATATGTTATACTCGTACTGGTAATCTAAATTACGTCTAAAATATAACGTCTAACATTAACGATGACGAGCCCCCGTGCACTCGTGTAGATGGCGCCTATATGGTATCGACAGTAATTATTATTGTGTGTGTGTGTACTTGCAGGGCGATTTAGAGGAATCGATAAGAGCGTACGAGTTCGGCTCGACGATTGTCGAGTACTGTTTTGTAAATATGAAAGCCATGTATTCGCACGAGTTGGGCTTCATGTACGCTATTAGATTGGATTGGACGGTCGCGTGTAGGAAATTCGCTAGTCTAGCGGGCGACAATGAATGGATGAAGCCGTACCATTACTTTATGGCCACAGGTAAAAGCGAAAAAAAAAAAAATAAAAAAAAAAAATACAATTTAGCCTCTTTAACGGTGCGCGGAGAACGTCGTTTATATTGTCGTTTACGAACCTCGCTTATATATGTATACGTATAAAACGGTTTGTTTATGTAAAAAGTCGGGTTTACGTTGTTCGCGCGTTACGGCTGCGGGTTAACTGTCACGGCGGAAAAAAAAAAACCCCCGGTAGAATATTCCGAAACTTTACTTTGAAATTATTATTGTATACGTGCCTTCCGTTTCATATCGGCGCGCCGACGTTATTGCAGTACAGAGAATAAAATAATATCGTTCCGTTTAAAAGTTTCCAGGAACAATACGTACGGTATTGTAATGACGACGGGAACGTCGACGTCACCCACGCGAGTTATTTAAAGGTTTCTGCATAAACCGTTTGTTAAAAATACGATTTTATTTGTTGTACGTTACCGGTCGAAATAACCGGCAGGCGTTTCCCGCGTCCGACCGCGTTTCGCAAACAGAAATCGAAAACGATTCGATCTGACGTGTCTCCCGGTTTCCGCCGTCATCCCTGCGGCCGCGGTAAATCCATATTAAAGTCGTTGCCCGGCAATTTGTCTTTTTCGAGAAGGGTATCCCTCGTCCTGCGACAGCCGAATTGAATACAACAATGACTGATTTTTTTTCGTCCGTGTCGAAAAAATAAAAAAAAAAATAAATGTCTTCTTCTTCTTGTTATTAAGCCGCCGAGCACCATCCCATTTCGCGCCCTAGCTCCCATCCTTCTCTGTCCGACGCTTATTCTTTCCGACCCGCGCGGAGGCGGAGGCCAAGTATTTCCACGCGTTCTCGACCGGATCCCCGTCCATCTTGTTTTGGATCTTCTCGGAGGTCTTTTTCCGCACGGGGTTTGTTCCGTTACTGCTCGTTATCTGTTCGTTCTTGCTTCTCCAAACACGATCCGCCCATGATAGTCTTCGCTTTCTTGTTACGCCTACTATATTTGTGTTTCGCAATAAGGTCTCCAGTTCAGTATTTTTCCTCCTGCTGCCATTCTCCGCTGATACAATCCCTAATCGGGCCGAAGATTTTCCTCAGAATATTTCAATAGTAAACATTTGGAAAGGAACCTATGTGTATCATTATTATTATATTTTGTTCGGTGATATAATATCGCCGGCACGCTCGTCTGTACAGAGATTGTTTTCCGGAGGTGTGTTCGATACTAAGATTTCCGATACTACATGATACCTAAAACAACGGCGTAATCCCGAAAAACGCACACGATCAATTTACTCGATCAGTATATTATTTTAAAAACTATTTTCATTAAAAACTTGTTCGTCCGTTTTGAACTCGACGGGGTTATAATAATCATTATATATTTCGGGAAGTAAAAATTAAATATAAAACTTTCTTTGCCGTGATCTAAACTCATAACGTAGCGTTTTGACGGTAAAACAATATAAAGGTATTATGTGTACCTAATATAATATTCATATTTCGCCGACGAAAACTTTTATGACGATTAATTAATTTTGTTTTCCATTATCGCGTCCTAAACAAAATAACTGTACACTATTTACAGTCCCTTTTTACAAACATAATGGTTCCCATTTAATCAAAATCTCCTTCAACAGCTAGTGTTTACCGTTGCAAAAAACATCTGAAGTTTAGATAACTTAAGACATATTGTAAGTATATATAACTATAAATTTAAGGGTTTTTTTTTTTTTTTTTTTTTAAACGTTTAAAACTTAATTCTAGTTTTAATTGAATCTTCCGCAAACATACCCGAAAAGTATCCGAGAGTAAACACGTTAATTAAAAAACACAAAACTAGGTATTTTTTTTACTCCGTGACTTTAAAACACAAATATGTATATTATTCTCGATAGAATGGCATTCGAGTTTACATTCAAAAATGCAATTAATATCTTTTCAGAACGCGTAGGTAGTGCAGGGTTGTATAGGTTTTTTAATAGAAAATGTCGTTGTTTGAGTACTTAAAGTATTCTCCACAATTCACTATATACATTTGAGAATACAATTCATACTTGCGTAGCCTTAAGTTTTTTTTTTATTATATTCATATTCATGTGTTACACTGTGTATAGCGTTTATCACGTACACTATTGGTGTCAGTCTCAATGCGGTTAAGATAATGTTATAATATTTTTTTCTTCCCTTGTCGTGTATAGTTAAAATTCTAAAATTATTCCGATGTGAATTTCGATGCGTGCAAACCCGCCGAGAGTTATCCCATAAGGTTCTGTATAATATATGAACTTTTAACTTTTCCAATCGATACGCGCGTACAATGGGATACGGCCCCGTGTTCACTGTTTTACGTATAGTAATGGCTTTCGAGTCAGGGAAACAAAGACATTTGGCGAGATTCTAAATAGGACTTTAAAGTTTTCAAATATTAAAGGATTTCCTCACCGCGTATATACATAAAATATATTATATATTATATATATATATATATGCAGATAATGCATTATATATTCATACAAAAAGAAACTATTTTCATGTTAATATCGGCCGGTTTATTTACGATATTTTTTACGGAAAGTATATTTGTATGCATTATACATATATTATACAAGCTCTCGGCTGTGCAAGATCCGTTTTCTTCGGTTTTGATACCTGTATCATTATTAAAAACCTTAAAAAAAATATACTAATTAGTTTTGTTTACAGGCAGTATTTTTGCAAAACGCCAGAGTTTTAACCACGTTAAAAGTAGATAAATAAATAGGAAATGGGCGAAGGTTGTCGCGATGTCGCTTGAATAAAAAGGTAAATGTCCGAACAAAAGGTTGACCGTGAGTTGAATGGCATCAAACAATAGAAACGAACGAACGACGATGTCAGGTTCTAACTATAAAAATCAAATAAAACAAAATGTGAATGTTCGACAAGCAATACCTATATTAGTGTTTTATTATAACTATACGATTTTCAATTTGATTGTTTCTCAAACGATCAACGTCGTAAAAGTTGTGTAATATTCCTTATAAACGTGCCATGGTTTCTTTTTTCCAATCTTCTGTTATTTTGCCAAATATCATATTGTACATAGTATGCTGACGAACAAAATATTAACGGGAAGGCAATCGCCTTAATAATGAAATTATTAATCTAAATAAAAGTATGCATTGTAAAAAACGGCAAATATAATATTATTGTTGAACATAAAATACAATTTACTTCACCGCACACGTTCAACTGGTTTTATCCAGCCAAAATGTGGAACGGCCGATTATTGTTAATTATTATTATTGAATGACGATTTTTCTCTTTTTCACTCAGTTGGATTTTCTCTGTACAATTGACTCGTCGTTTCAAAGTGTGTACGACCCGGGACTTGGGGCTGATGTTCCTCTTGTGTTTTCTTAATTACGGGAGAAAATTGTGAAAAAACGGGAAAATAAGTGCAACACCAATTTCTGTTATTTTTGATTTTTTGTTTTTATTCATGGAAAAACAAAGACCTAAGAATTTCCATAGAATGCGTATACTAGCCAATTTTTCGTCTTCCTTTAATACGTTGCTGCTAGTTTACTTTTCATATAAATGATATAAATACGCCCTGTGTACAGAAGATATTATTTTATTAGTCCGTATAATCACTTCAATAATCCGTGAATGAAATCACTCTGTATAACCAATCGTATGACCTAAACAATTTAGCACACACCTAATCGTCGGTGTCTTTTTTTCGTTTAGTGTGCGCCGGCGCGGCGGGCGACGCGGCCACGGGCGAACTGATGTGGCGGCGGGTGGACGAGACGGCGTCCAAAAGCAGGTGGCGGGGCGCAGAACGGGACATGGTCGGCAGTTTCGTGGTGGACAGGAAACGCGCGGTGGCCAGAGCGCTGCGGCGGATAACGGCGGCCGGGGATGGCCAGCGGCTCTGTCGACTGCTCGTCTTCGAGGTGCTGTACGTCAAGTACGGCGCGGCCAGGTGGCCGGAGAAGACGCTGCGCGCGGTTCTAGCAGGTAAGCGGTGCGGAGTTTTGTCAAAATTTTCGCCGGACCCAGTTTGAGTTCTCCGCCGTGAAACCAATAACCTTACCTAAAAAAACGACGATGGCAATGTGAATGACCGCAGACGCGTGCACAGAAAAACATTTCGAGATAGATTTATAATTGGAAAAAAGTTAAACGTTTTGAACTTATAAACTATAGTATATGATGCGTGTCCCGAATTTAGGGTACTGATGGTCTGTTCCCCTACGTACATACCTGAATAGTCCCCATGTCGATTTTCGGGAGTTATCGGCTTTTTCGCATCCTGAACCCAGGTGGTTTGATACCACAAATGAACCCAGGTCTAAAAACAGCACCACGAATAATACTATTAGTATTGAGTGTCCGGACGAAAACAGAATAAACAAATTGAGGGTCACCCCCCGTTGAAGTTCAGTGTGGCGTTTAAAGTTCCTATTTCCAAAAAAAAGTTCAAAATATTGAAAAGTCACTGTAAGGTTAGGTATATTTATTAGTGATGGGCAACAATATCGATAAGTCGATACGATATCGATATTATATCCTACATCGGGAATTATTTGAAGCTATGATAAATATTAAATAATATCTGTCGTTATAATATTATTATACAAATTATAATGTAATCTGTAAAGTTAGGTATTACGTAGTTTCTTATAGTTCAAAAACAATTTTTTTTTTCGGTTTCCCTATATTGTTGTATTCAATAATATATTTTTCTCACCGGTAAAATACGTTTGATATTTGAACAAGATTTTCGTATCGAAAATATTTTCAATACGATATCGATATCGTACAACTCACGATACCTTACGATATCTCGATACAACATCGGGAAAATCGGAACGATTTCGATACCCAAAATTATATCATTGCCCATCACTAATATTTATATAATATTTTGGAATTGACTCGGAAACTCATATTATGTCCGTGAAACCATATCGTCTCTTCTCAAAAAATAATTTGATAGTTAGTCTATATTGGATAGGGCGTTAGATAAATCAGGTTAGGTAAGATAGGGTCTTAGGGGCCCAATGCCTGAATTGCTGTGATAATTTATCACGCGTGATAATCATGAATTAACACACAAATATCGAAACTATCGTATTTTGGTATTCCGAAATTATTTTTGATAATTTACCTTATGAAAAAAAGTGATCAATTATCCCTAGGCATTATGCTGTTAAATTTGATTATCACGGTTATTCCGTCATGTCATAATGTAAATAAGTATGTACATGCATGAGTAAAAAATGTTGTATTTTTTTTTATTACCTACTTAATTACAGCTTGTACTTACTTGTTATCGTTTTGTTCATTGGATTATTCTAAATATTATAATAATCTAAAACATTTAAATATCTTTTGGTAATAATGGATGAGTTTTATATAGATGCATTAGAAAATCTAGAGCGACAAGAAAATGCTCTAAATTATGGAAAATTCCATCAAGAAGAAAGGTTTGGTGTGTTTTAATTTTCAGATGATATTTGTGTTAAAAATTTTAAACTCGATAAAAATTTAGTGAGATATATTATAAACACACTTACACCATTTCTGATAGAAACAACAAGAAAATCTGTTTTAGATGTACAGACTAAAGAAAAATACATCTTACATTTCTATCCCTAGCAATAATTGTAGGTGAACATTAATCTGTGTGTTAATTTGTTAATTATAATTTAGGTATTTACAGCTGTGAATTTCTTTGCTTCCGGTTCCTATGGACACTTTGTTGGAAATAGTCATCAATCGTTTTCCATTTTAAATTGGTAGGTAATAAAGATAAATACATAAACAAGTAAGGTAGGTATATAAGAAATAAGTATTTATTATTTTGTAGAATTCATGATTTCTATAATAATATTATAAATTTGATAAAGGATATTACTAATAAAGTGACAACACAAAATAAACATTTGATAAATTATCACGTCATTGGTATATTATTACATAACGTATTATATTTTCGTTTCACGTTCAAGAATTAATAAAGTTGATAACAAATTATCGTGCGATATATAAATTGATAATTATCGTATTTGATAAATTACCACAGCGATTCAAGAATCGAGCCCCAGGTCCGATACCCGGCGGCAGAAACACGATCCTTTTTTTTTTTTTTTTTATTTTTATTTCTCGTATTTTCGTATTATAAAACAATGTTGTTTTATAAATACAGCACTGTGGTTCTAGATATTATGTTAGAAATAAACAGATCTGTAACGTACCTGGTTAGATACAAACACGTGTCATTAGCAATGCCTGCAGGGACATCGCATTACAAAATGTCAACAAAAAAAATCAAGATATTGGACGTTATAATGAAACGCGGACGATCTCACGTGTTACAATTGTATACATTATAACTAATTACAATTATAATAATGTATATAATAAACTTAGTGTATGCATCATAATCACTTGATTTGGGGGGGGGGGGGAGTTGAAATTGGGGGGGCTTAGCTCTCTATTTTCGCCTAGATACTAATCTAACCTCCTTCACATTCTTCGTGAAATACAAATGGTATTGTTTTAAACAAGAAAGTGTATACGTTTAGGTTTTTTAGGTGTACAAACTATTACGTTGGTATATTAACCTATTAGGTCTACAAACACGGCTATTTTTTGATTTTTCTGACTAAATGTAAACAAAATTTTAATCTTCCTATAATTTCTCTCTGTAAATGCGCCACTGTTCTTAATTTATTTTATGAGTCAAATAAAAACTATGCAAGTTTAATTACGATATTAAAATGCAATTATTTTATTCCAATGATCGTTTCGTGTAACCCGAGTAAGTCGAGTTTTCTATGACATACAAGAATATAAGCATTACAAAGTATGTTCTCGCATGGCATACAATAACATTAATAACTAACAAATATCGTCTCACTCGTTTATTGATTTTGTTACGAGTAAATAATATAATTTTACGTTATTTGTTCGTCACGATTTTCATATCACGTTTTTAGTAGAGTTTATGTACGGTTTCTACTTTATGTTGATTTAACGATATCCGAACTCAAGATAAGTGTACCTGTTAATATTATGACGAGTATAAATATCGAATATCGTGTTTGCGTTACTTATTTGAAGTTGTATATAATTATATTTTGATTTAATTAGGTACTGATATGAAAGTTGGTTTCTACGTTTAGAAAAAAAATAAAAATATACGCCTGAAACGTTTTTCAGACAAAAACGGGGGAAAACGTGTCTTTTTAAATAAACCCGGCAACAATAAAGTAGAAAACTAGAAACATAATATTGTTCAGTATATTAGGTTCTTTACCCCATCTGTACTATACTCGTTTAGCGAATGCTTTTCAAAACGTTTTAATGCTTTATTAATTGTCTTATCGACTTTCTAAACGCGTTCTAAAACCACTAAACGTTTTATTATGATTAATTATATTGCTATTGATACTCGTATATTAGTGTATTATTATTTATCGTGCTGGATCACAAATCATTAATTATAGACCGTTTCTCCTCCCTTAAGGACTTGTTAATTAACAATAACATCGAAATAATCCAGAATTAATTATCACAATAATAAGTGGTCATTAAAGGTTACTATACATAATATAGTAATTGTACATCACACGTTTCTGAAGAAGTTCGATGTTATATACGTATCCATAATAATTGAATAGTTATAATCTGAATAAAGTAAGTAGGGGCGTAGTGGGAACCGAATTCAGGTCGAGAGATTATTGAAATTGATCCAGGTCACCCATAAAATACGCACTAACCAAACAAAATTGTTCTCTCGTTTTAATTTGAACCGTTGGCGAAGCGAGGATTTCGAATTGAGGGGAGCTTAATACGTTTTTAAACTCGAGACACAGGCGAAGATAAGAGTGCGGAACGCGTTTCGACCCCCGACAGTTTAGACAAATTATTTCACAATATACATTTGAATGTAATAATTTAAACGAAAATGTATACAAAAGAAAACTTAAAAGGTACTGAAATATGAACACAATATTGTCTTGGCGTAACGTTTTACTTAGTTTTAAAACAATACAAGTGATTAAAATATTTCCCATTTCCAGACCGGCCAATCCGCCCCTGAAAACCGTTGCATTTAAACATACTTCTTGAAACAAGAGCATACATAACATATAATTATTATTTAAAAGGAAAAAAAAAAGACAAAAACCCCGACGCAAAATGCGGGGAATATTTTCATTTTTAATGTTTCTTATATGTACCATCAACACAAATAAAAGTTTCGGGTAAATATTCTACGAAAAGATGTCTGGGTATAGTTGCTTACATTAAATGATTATAATCGGATTAAAAAAAAAAAAAAAAGCAAAAAAGTTTTCAACAAATAATCTTGAGAGGGTTGTCTTCCAATTATATTTATTGAAGAACCGCGTCGTAACGATTTGTCGCGTACACTGGCGGCAGTTCGTTTTTGCCAAAATCGATTTTATTTAGTTAATATGCGTCTATGCGGTATGTTGGTTTAGTGGTATTTCAACTCAAGTACACGTTTACATTATGCGTATAAATATCAATCGTCGAATAAATATTTTGTAACTGTTCAAAACCGCCTCGGTCTTTTAGATTACGAGCGTAGCGAGGGAGCTATTGGTTTTACAATGCTGTTTTTTTTTTTTCTTTGTTGTAGTCTGTGGACACGTTTTTTCCTAGTAAACCCGTTCCAATGTATACGTGTAGCACCTATTCTGAGAGTCCAAGTTGTCTAGATTGTACCTTAAAGATGGAATTTTTTTGATTTTCGCCATTTTTTAAATAAAAGCACTCAAGTGGGAAAAAACGTAGGGAAACTTAAAATTTCACGAATTTTATAAAAACACGGACGATGTTTTGTGCCAGAAAAAAATGATTTAATCGGAAAATCACACAAGATGCTTTTTTTGTTGTCTTTTCAATTTACTTTCTCGTCGCCAAAACTTTTGAGCTTTTAAGGAATTTAAATTTTTGGGAGTTTTTTGCTGTAATTCGGTTATAAATACACGTAGAGACTTGAAACTTGGTAATAATACTTAAATTGGACTTACCTAAACGTGGTAAAATGTCCAAAATCATTGGGTGACTTTTTTTTTATTTAATAATCGGTTTGAAATCAAATTTCAACGAAAATCACAAAATAAAAATACGGCACTTCAAATTAACGTATTACCGAACTGCACTCGGAATCGTCTTTTATCAAGCAAAAGTTTATTGTTGCTCACAGATATAAATGAAATAATCTTATGTATCCTACCTTCCCAAATTCTCACTTGCAACCAGTGGTGGCTTTGAGAGTGAGGCAAGTGAGGCGGTGCCTCACCTAAAAGGGATTTTTGTATTTTAAAATATTTAAAATATTAATTTTCCAATGAAGCAATTATAGGGAGGGGCTAAGAGAGTTAGCCCCCTTGAATCTTCTGAATTCCCCCCCCAAATACAGAAGCAGAGCTTTGTGAATTACATTTATTTAATATTGCAGTGGTATGGCCTCTCACTCAGGTCTATGAGTTAATCGGGCCATTGTCCTTTGCACAATAATTATGTGGGAAAAATGTTTAATTATGTATATTTTATGAAAATTGTCAAAGGCCGTCATCGCGGTATTATATTTATTCGGCACGCACGGCCGGTGTCGGTGTCAGGCGTAATTTAATTTTTATGGGCGTAGCATGATATAATGGTGAAATAAAGATAAGGATGTTTTAGAATAATTACTCGCTATATATGTTTTTACCCGGGTAAACACGTGACTATATTAGCTGACTTGTAAGCTAATACTCGCTGTATAATATATGTCTAGACTAGCGAACGCCGTTTCACTGCGGATATACGTTTTTTAATTGACCTAAAAATGTCAGAACCGAATACGCGAAATAAAATACGCAACGTTTTGTCGTGACGCATTATACGAAACGGATTTTCGCAATTTCCCCCCTATTTTTTTACGACCGCGCAAAAGAAATATTATTACGCGTTCTTGAACCTAACCTCAGAAGTCCTCCGCCCTAATAATGAACCGCGCGCGTGTGTGTTTGGCAGATTGTCGCGAGGCCGACAACGACGACGACACGACGCGGTACACGAAACGAATTTTGACGATCGTCTGCCGGAGAGCTTTGGGCCTGGTGGACGACTACTGCGGTTATTTCGCCGAGGTCGTCGGACACATGGAACGCGACGAGCGACGTGACCACCTGTACGCGTACGGACTTTACGAACTGGCCGCGGAGCAGATAAGCCGTGTCCAAGTGAGAGCATTCGACCTGTTGCCGTTGACATCCGGCGAGCATTTGTGTATAATCGATATCGCGGAAACGTTTTGTCTAAACTTAACTGTTTGTCGTTCTTTTTTTTTTTTTTTTTTACAACAAAATACCATTTTTCCCCAAACAAATGTCGTACCGGTCGCACAATTTCAAAACGCGCACCCACCTTCCCCTCCATCCCCGAAATATTTTTACGGATTTACGGCGTTCCACGTCGATCTAAATATAATAATATTTAGCTTGCTTGAATTCAATTTCAAAATAATGTCGAAATTGTTGTTGAGTCGATGGCGAACGCAGGGGAATGAGAGTTTAGGAATAATATATTAATATCCCTTCTCCTATTGGTTTAAAATATATAAAAAAAAATAAAAAATACGAGTAATCTAATATCGAAATGTATTTATTTCGGGCAAGTTAATACTTAAAGAAATACTCGATGTATTGATTCGAAAATTGCTTCTTTTTTTTATAACCTTTTAAATTACCAATTCCCATAGTCGAATTGGGTAGAGAAGACGATTTTACGATTTATTCACGTTTCTTATTTGCTACATCTCCTCCCGTTGATAATGCTCAGGCACGCTTCTGTATTGAATTAAAATGTGTGTGGTATGACCATAAATTTACTGCAGTAGATAATTTAATAAGCTTATCATACGTTTTACCCGTCACGAACATGATTGAATACCCGGATGAGCATAAGTAGATTGTATAAAACTGCATTTATATAGGTTTCATTGACACACAAAACTGCATTTCGTCACTGAACCTGTAAGTTTGTTTGCATTTTTTTTTTTTTTCAAAATATAGTATAAATACTATAGATTATAGAACAAAGACAAATAAGTACTTCGTTATACGTTTTAAAAATTCATTTTAACAAATTATTGTTCAATTTCAATCTGGAAAACTTACTATTTTTCCTATATTTATAGAGTGTAAAAGTTTATTGTTTATCATTATTTACCCTTTTTCACTATGTTTACAAATTATAGTATAATTTCAGAGCTTCTCCGATCCAAAACAATTTTTCGCGGAAATTTGCAATTTAATATCGGAATTTCTCGTACTATGAAATATCATATCATATATTATATTAAATATGCGTATTTTTTCCTCTATACTAATTAACATAATATTCGCGCGATCGCACGAAATAATGACGTTGTTAGTACGTGTTTAGTCACCGTATATGTTTTTTATTGCATTATTTTGTGATATTATTACTACTTTTTTAAATTTATTTTTTAACATAAAACAATTTTAATTTTAATTTTTTTACATGGTATTTGTATTAAATATGATTCGCAGTTTTATCCTTCGTTTATACTATTTATCATTAAATAAATGGACAAATAATGGCAACAGTTATTTTTTTATAGCGATTGGTTATGAACTGTATAAATTGGAGTGAGATATATTTGACGTATGGTAATTTATTTGAATTGTATTGAGACAAAACGGACAATCGGAATCATGATAACTGATTTAAAAATATTAAATTATAAATACTTGGTCTACTGCAACAATATTATGTATTTATTATCAATTGCAGGATAGATTTCATTGATTTTACCTACCTATCTCATTCTTGTACAATTTTTAAATTTAATAATTAATTTAAAACCTATACGACATTTATGATTCAGCGCTCTTCAAACCATACAAATTTATATAAAAATAAAAATATTGCACAACTTTAAAAATAACTTCTTGACAGCCCTCATAGTTAAAAGACCAATTATTGCGAAACTAATACAAAATTTGTGTTCAGCATCTCCAAAACTGATAGGTTTGATGTATCACAAAATCACGTAAGCAAGCTAAATTACGATTCAGACCACTGTGTATATCCTCCTAACCTCCCCAATCTATAGCACACTGTTCCTGTTTGAAAACAAAGATCTCGCACATTCTTTTCGCTCGGATCGGTGAAGTGTTTTCTGTTTATTTTTTTTTAAAATTCTTTAGCTCTTCTAATGTTTACAAACTACATGTGATTTAATATTTATCATCTAAAAAATGTCCATGTTATTATACAAAACCTTTCCATACCAATACTTATTATGAATAAAGAACTCGCGTGTTCAAAAATTCACTTGGCAAAACGTCATAAAACAAAACCTATGGATTATATTTGTACATTATAGTTTTATTAACTGTGATAATAATATAATATTTTGAAATGTTTTTTTTTGTTTTATTTTGTCCGAGCAGTACGCAGACGAGAGCAAGAAAACAATCCAAAAGTTAAACGATCTGAGAGGACCGTACCATTTTCAGTACTTTTACGAAATGCGGTGCGCGTCATTGCAAGCGTACGTTCAAAGAACGATGAACGTCAGATGACAATTTGTTTGATCCGAGGAATCCGCTATTGAAATCTTCATCGTTATTATTCTACACGAGGAATGACCGCAACATTTTTTAGTTTTTAGCAGTCGTCCGCGAGACGTAACGAATTATTTCCATCCGCGGTTCTTTCAGTGTAACAGGATATTTTTATCCCTTGATAAATTTAAAAGGGTAACTACATACTGACATAAATATACCCACATAAAAAATTTGCTCCCATTAAATGTATACTATTATATTTTTACCACCGATATATTTTTACTAACGATGATGAATAAAATGCACCGAAAGATTAAATATTGCCTATGTTATTCTTACATCTCCGGTAAAAATGCACTCAGAAGGTAAATACTCGTATATCCTACGGTATCTCCTTACATACACAATTGATATACACTGTGAAGGGCCAATATATCCTATCTTATTCTTACTACCCCGATAAAAATTCACCGACAGCTTTTAATTGAATCTGCTGCCAAAATACACCGATTTACTGTTATATTGTATACACGATTATAAATTGCTTAAAAATTAGTATTGAGCCGGTCTAATTTTGCAATAAGCTCCCCCATAATTAGAACAATATGTCTTTAACCAACGATAACTAGTTATGTTCTTACTAGGTTCACTATTTATTGTGCTGTTAACTAATTATGTACTTCTTACGTATTTCTAAAAAAAAAAAAACGAAAGACGTTGATTCATAAGTTAATTATTTAATTACAAAATAATGGTTTGTTTTTTTTTTTATAATAAGATGGATAATAAAGATAAAATAGGTTATTGACATACTAAAATAACGTACCTACGCATCGGCGTTCTGGAATGAAGAAGAAACATTGACACTGTTTTATTATTTTGAAACTTTAGCTGCTGATTACGAATTAAGATACGATCTTAGTTTGAACATAACTACAAAATATGTTTAGCTAGAAAGAGACGACAGTCTATGAAACAGTTTTTTTTAGCGTCGGAAATATTTTTAAGTTAGGTTATGTTAGGCTAAGTTAGCACTGTTCAATCCCTTAATCTAGCCGATATACTGAACAGCAAAAACCAAAGGAGTACTGAACACTTTTAATGTGGAAAGTCTCTAGATGGCTTGTAATGTATCAGTGGAGGACCCACACGCATTTGTCGAAAACCGACTAAGTTACGATACGGCGTTTAAAAACCTAAACATCAGTTTACCGAGTACGTTAGAAAAACGAAAGATATACTAATCCCCCCCCCCCTTTCTCGGTGTATTTTTACCCGAGACGTATGAATAACATGGACGTTTTTATTGCGTGGCTGCGAAAAAAACGTAGAATATATTTACCGTGAGTAAAAATTTACTATAGTAAGTATATATTTATCACGGGCAAAATATTTTAGTTTATATTTATCGTAGGGGATAAAATGTACTAGTATACTACATTGTCCCATGTAAGCAAATTTATATCAGAGAGATAAATGTATCCTAGTATCCTAGTAGATTTCTACTGTGGAGAGTAAAAAAATGAGGTGAAATTGGAGTAAAATTATACTACCACACCGGCTCATATATATATTTTTTTATCAAACAGATTTAAGTATATCGATAAATAATAATTATTTCTTAACAATTAATAAAATTATAATATTATAGCTCTATATATACATAGAAACTATGCCGTCCGCAATATTATTATTAACCTGTGAAATAGAATATTTTTGTAATTTGTTCTTATATTGTAAAAATGAAAAATTATTTTATTACGTTTTACGGGAACGAATCAATTATAATATTATATAAGTATAAAAAATAACCAAACTGCAGAGATTGGTTAAAAAAATAATAATTACCAAATATATCAATGTGAGTCTTTTACTGTAGGTCAATTATAACTATTATATTTGTCTATATAGATATAATTTTAAATTATTGAATATTTGATTATATTTTAATACAATTTAACGAATACATAAGTATTATATTTTCTTTAGCTTGTATAGGCCAATAAGGCTCGACATTGCTCCGCACAACCTTGTCCAGTCTTCTCAATTACCTAAAATGTCTTCTAATTTATTAGGCTATTAGGCTATTCATTTCAACTCCTATAGACATTTGATATTTTTCGCTTTTTCAAAATAATAAGTTTTTTATCTTTATCCCTATTTTGTTCCAATTCATTCTCTTGTTCATATCCTAAATTCAATTCCTTTTTTTAGTTCCTTTATTTATCACCGGCATCATTATTTAGCGCTGGTTATCGGTTCTTTAGTAACATTATTTATTAAATATTAAATAAATAATTTTTTAGAACGACTTTTTTTGGCTCGTGTTTATTTTTATAAAAAAAAACATATTTATGTTTCAAGTTTATAAACTTCTAATTTAAAAAAAAAAATAACTCAGATAAGCAGCTAGTTCTGAAACGGATCATTATTCTTGATTAATAGTTTTTTACATTAAAGTTGGCAAAGGTATATTATAAAAATATTTTTTCGTAATTCTATTTTATTAGTTAACGAAACCCTTCGCGTGTAGTCACTATAATATGCTAAGTATATTTTTTTATATCTACCTACCTGTATTTTATTTTATTTTATTATTATTATTTTTTTTTTAAATTACAACAAATCCTATTTACTTTGTAAAATATGGTTAATCTATAATTTTTTTTATCTATTAAATGAAAATGTATATTTTATATGCAATATTTTTCTTTAGAATATAGCTAAGAGGGATAGAAGAAGAAGAAAACGACTCCGACTATTAGTATATTATTTTACCTAAACCAATAACTTAAGTAATTGATTATTAATAAGATATTGATTTCCTAATTATTTTTCCTACTTATAAATTAAAATTCGCCATAATGAATTGTTTATAACAGAAAATGTAATTTTATTAATTGTTTAATGTAGGTAAATTCCTAAAGTAATAAATTAATGTCACTTATTCGTACACATATAATTTTGTAATTTTTTGGATTCTGAGCGAAAGAATGTATTAGTTTTACAATGATGTATTCTTTTTTTTTTTCAATTTTATCTGTAAACAAATTTTCTACCAGAAATCTTTCTTCGATTTTCAAATGTAACATCTTTACTGAATGGAATTTTTTTCTGTGTGACAACGATGGTAAATATTACGGCGTTTAAAAATATAAGTTTAACCTAATTTTTCTCAGAACCGTACTTCGTCTGCGATAGATTTATTATTGCGTACAGATACAAACTAAACAACTTAAGTATTCCGACTTTCCGACTTTCCGCCTACGACAGTGGCCTCTCAATCAGCAGGGTCGTTTTACCATTTAAATTATTACGAAATGGTAATTTTTGGGTGATACCGAACGAGTCACATTATAACCATTGTAATTCATTTACTACGCGTTTTATTCGCCTGCGGCGTCCGCAAACCCGCGGAAAATGTCAAACACGCATGACTGCGACGATTTAATAATATATTATACATTTTTCGGGTATGGACGACCAAACCGATACGTGTCGCAGTATGTTATTGGTATCCAGCTGCCCCGCCATTCCGTAATAATGTACAATATTACACTGTTGTATGTTCGTTCAGTTTTACCGAATAATCAATACACACGCTAATTATACGCCTATACCTATACGTCCTTAAATTATTTATATACGGTTTTTTTTTTTTTTTTTATCAATTAAACATGTCTTCAAACTCGATCGACATTCAAATAAATCCTATTCTATATGCGTTACGAGAAAATTATTGATTAGTAACGATCGTTTTTCGTCTATCGTACCGTAATCACATCGTAAAAAAAAAAACACACATCGTGATCACCTTCTCTATAAACATTATACTATTACCGGTTTTGCATATTTCACTACTTTATGTATAGAATTTCGTAACTACGGTAATATAACACCATATAGACTATAATTTACATAGCTGATTAATAATCGTAAATAGTTACTTTTAGATTCTGAATGTAGCGAGGGGTCTTTTGGTTTTATTATGATGCGTGTTTCTAAAAAAAAATTGTTGTGTCTGTGAGCAACTTCTCTATAAGGAATCTTATTCCAATTAAAAATGACAAAAGACCTTTAAAACACTTATAAAAAAAAAACTAATGCATTAAACTCGGTGTTTTGTTATTTAGGTCATTAAGCGCAACTTAAAATGTACCTTGTGTTAAATTTTCAAGCAGTTCTCTGAAGTCATATAATTTTAATAACAGAATGAAAATAATTCAGTAATGAAAATACATATAAAAACACGAAAATATCAAATACCTATAAATAGCCTAAAAATAGCTAAAATATTTTGGAAATTTTATCAAAATGTCTATAAATATTTAAAAAAATGGCTATAAAATGTTTTGAAATTATTATCCCGTCTAAAAAAGGCAAACATAAGTTTTCTGTTCAAATTTCAAGCCTCTACGAATATTTTTACTGAATTACAACGAAAAACAAAACTGAAAACTATACATTTTGTAAATTTTCCTGTTTTTCCTACGTTTTTAATCGTTTTTTCCAATTACATAATTGTAAGCCACTTAGAAAAATTTAATTTAATTTTGTGACAGTTTTTGTCTAATTATAGCAGCTCAATAACGTATAAATTCCAATATTTTTATTATAAATTATACATAGGTTACGCGTATAATATATTATTTGATTTGTTTTTCCTTTAATAATAGGGATTACCAACAGTTTTTCTATAAAATTTGAAAAACTAACAACAAATTTCGATACGTCGGTTTTTATTTTTGTTGATTGCACTGATTACTTTGGCAACGGAGAAAAAACAAGATTATTATATTCTAATACTATTCCGCTTAAAATCGTTTTTTTATTATTTCTAATTAAACCATTATAATATCACATATTACACAATACGCACAATTATTTATTATCATGTCAATTACGATACTAAACATTATAATCTAGCTATCTGTTACACTATCATGACAGTTTCCGTCATAGTAAAAAAAATGATTGTGGATGGGCGACTGCAGTAATAAGTATGAATGTAGCTGTATTATGTTCATGAATGCAGACCGGGAAAGAATTGCGTAAAAAACGCGAGTTGGCGTTATTACACGATACATACCGAGAAAAAATCATCTTCCCACGGAAACGCGTACCTTTGTGTTGTTGTTGCAGTTTAACACGAAACGAATGACGCAATGCAAACGTTGGTTTTCTGTGGCCAGTGTTATACTGGAAATATTGTATAATATTTGTTAGCCTGCATTCTAATTCAATTCAACTCGTTTATATATTGTTTGACTGCAACGCGGTTAGGTTAGGTTAATCGTATACGTCCAGTATACCTATGGCGACGGTCGCTTTCGACTTTAACATTCGGTTGAAGTTTTTGGCGCCGCGCATTTTCCGCTCAACACCTTTTCCGTGCTATTTGTGCCCGTTAGTGTAATTTTTACCGGCCGAAATTATAATATAAGGTGGACTATCCGCTCAAATTTTAAAGTTATAGATAAATTGTATATAATTGTCAAATTATTATAGTTTTGATTCTGATTTTCAAACAAACACAGATAAATGATAGGTATAGTTATAAATTATATTTCACGTCATTTTATTTCCATCATAACAACTAACACAATACATCGAATTTGTCAATGGAAGGCTATACGCTTGGAATTCGTATCAGTAAAAGAAAAAAAAAATGTATATACATTTCGATAAACATATCAAACAAATAAATGAAAGTTTCTAAAAAGACAAAAATTAAAAATAAAAAATGTTTATTAAATTTATCATTTGTTCAGAAATTAAATAAGATTAAAGTATTATTTTTAAAAAAAAAAAGTTATAATAATAAGTTAGCAATTATGTACCTACTCGTAAAACAATATTTTAATAAATTAATTTATACGTTAATTTATAATTTTAAATTTTGAGCGGATAGTCTACCTAATGTAATTTTAGCAGGTAAAAATTACGATAGGTAACGGGCGGAAATAGCACGAAAAAGGTAATGAGCGAAAACCGCATGGGCGGAAAGTACGCCAGTACACGCCACCAAGTTTTTAAGAGTTCAAAAGATGTTCTACGATGGGCAGTAGTGGCTATCCCAAAAAAATATACGTTGCTGAAGATATTTCTGAGGACTTTCATCCACTTTCATCCACTTCCATAAGATTTATATTCCACGAGTTATATATTTAGTAGAAAACGAGAAACAATTTTTTCGTAACAATTTATAATATCGGTACATCGCCAATAATCAATCAACGAAGTTTTATGCGTGTTGTTGAAGCGACGCGTTTTGGAACACATAGGATAGCCGCCATCGAGCCATACCAGCGGGGGCACTCCACTGAAAAATTCGATCTTGTAGTTGTTGACAGCGTCATCTGTAAACTATATTATTTATAGAACATCATCTAGTAATGTTCTCCTGTAAGTTTCTTTAATTGATGACTTTGACAGCTTCGTTTTTTGAGACAAGAATATCGCTCTCGCCATCACTCTGTGCTCGTTAAGTGCTGGCTACATTTGGAAACTTCTTCTACTATATATATACATGTCCTATTCTATTAATATTATAAATGCGACGGTTTGTTTAGATGAACGCATGAATGGATGTTTGGCCGTTCCTTCACGCAAAAACTATTGAACATATTGAGCTGAAACTTTGTGCACTTCAGATAGTTTTAAACCAGGAACACCATAATATAGACTATTTTGTTCAAACTCCTATGGGGAGGCTGATACAGAGGGATTTTTAATTTTCGATACGAAAATCGGATTAACTTTGTCCATTTAGATTTACGGGTTATCGGGGTAACACGGACGAAATAAAAACACAAAAACAAAAAATAAATAAATAACAATGTAGTCCGTGTAAGGGCCGTAATAGTTGGACGAGGATACAACGGACAGTCAATGTCTACAACGGACAGTAGTTATATTACCATATAGAAACTGATTCATTGTTGGATTGTATTTCTTTTGGCACGAGCAACGCCGGGCGGGACAACTTGTGTATATAAGGCAACGTATTATAGTTTATAGATTCAAAAACTACTCGACCGATTTTTCTGAAAATTGCGCGGTTTGTTCTTGTTAGTTCTTCGAGTGTTTAGAATAGAGTAGTTTAAATAGGAAATTTAATACCTAAAATGGGGCTCGTACCTCTGAGTCCTTAAAATACGAAAATGTCACTTGTTTTTTTTTTTACGTTTTTGGTATCCGCGGGTTACACGGAAAAAAAATGTTTTTGTTAATATTGTTTAGGTTTCTTACCACCTTATATCCCCGTTGTATTCGTCTGTCCTTGTACGGATATTGATTATTGGTTGCTAAGGAGTTGAATATTATTCGAAACATTATAATCATTCTTCTATTTCTCATTCGCCTTTATCCAACTGTTTGGGGTCGGCCAATTATTATTATTATCATTATTAGTTTAAATATCAATTCAAGTTAATATTGAAAAATAGGTACAAAAATATAAACACACCGGTCACATGTAGGTTAATGTGATTGTGCGACTATAAATAGACATTTTTTAAATTTTATACCTAATACAATACCTGAACAAAAAAAAAAAATAATGGTTACTCTGTGAAAAAGAACATTTAGAGGTATACTGTTCGTACAAATCGTATAAGTACAAAAAATAGACGATCAACGGTAATTTCTTTTTTTTGTATTTCTGATATCAGTAGTTCATTTAATACGTTTCCATTTCAAATGTTCAAATGTTGAATAATAACAATTTAAAATTAACGCAATATCATTTATTCACTCGTTTTTCGGCGGCGCGGCGAAAAAACAAACTGATTTGTTTTTCAAATCGTCCGATCACACGTGTGAATTTCGCAGTCGTCGGATTTACATATTATTATAATAAATAGGAAATACTTAATATATACGTAATACTACTGGTAATGATTATAAATTATTCTACTTTAAATAATTATAATAATTCAAGACACGTCTCATTAC